TTTTTACAGATTTGAAAATAATTGAGTGAGAAAATCATTGAATAAAAAGTTGAGCTTTTTTTTCGTTTGGGAAATTTCGAAAATTGATTCATTAAAAATTATTTCCGAAAAAAATGTTTTCAGCAATTATGAACTCTCTTAGGAAAAAGAACATTTCAACTCCCAAAAAATTAATGATTTTATTTTCCAAAAAAGAACTTAGTTTTTGAAGAATACTGAAAATATCAACTAACAAGATTCGTTATTGCAAAAAAAGCGAGATAAAACGCGCCACCGCCAGGTTCACACGCAACAATGATAACAAATTGATAAACTCTGTGATGGGTGTTTTTTAAAATAATTCCTACACCAGTACACAGTTCTTTGTATAACAGTAACTTTTTGGTAAACAAGAAACTGGAAAACAGTAGAAAAGGGAAGGATGAAAGTAAATAGAAAGATACACACAGAAGAAAAGTCGTCAAAAGTTATGATGTGCATATAAGGGGAAAGCGAGTGTATTTTTTTCCGAGACGTTCTAGAAATGCAGAGAAAAACAGGCGACGTCATTCAACAAAAGAGCGAAACGAAATTTTCAAAAAACCGACGGGATAGTTCAAGCACGACTACAGTTTGACTAGTAATTCGAGCAGTAATCGTAGTGTCATGTCGATCGGGAGTAGCACAGTGTTGTGCCCCGTGGCTAATGCCGTGACAACTGGTGCGACGCGGAGAAAAACGAGACATGTACGTGGCGGTCCTTTCTTCTTTTTCTTCTTCATCAGAGCAGAGCTTCTGTGAGAAACCCCGAGGCACCAGCCACCCCGAAACATTCTTTAAACATTGGGACGGATCACCCAGACTCTCCTCATTCGTTAAAGCGAGATGAGGCCTCAACTCGTGTGTGACTTTTTTATGACGAGCGGATAGGGGGTTCGAAGAGAGAAATGAAAAAAATGGACTGTTGCAGTTTCGGGCGGTTTTTTGATAAATGTGAATTCTGCGTCTACAACTGGGGTATAGTGACACCACAGAAAAGCGGAAATAGGATAGATCGGTTTTCCGACCACCCGATGGCAATTCTATTAGGTTTTGTCTAAAAACCACAAAAAATTCGACGAGAAAGATTACCAGTGTAATTAAACTTTTGGGAGGGTTTTGCTTCGAAGAGCGAGAATTCGAAAATTATTCCAGCTAACATGTGAATAATTGAATTTGAACTTCTATTTTTTGCGCTAGAGTCGTTCGCTGTGTGGAATTAATTGATCCAGGGTTCAAGCTGTACTGGCTCAGTGCACTGTCAGTAACAGGAAAAAAGTGTCACAGTTTTATGAAGAACGCCGAACAAGGTGAACTAAGTACTTTGAGCTAAATTGCTCTGAAAATAAACTAAAAAAAGGTGCAAAAAACATTTAGCCAGAGTCTATCAATAAAAAAACAACCGTAACCAATTGAAATGAAGCTAGTAGATCTTTTTGTTATAAATTTCTACAAAAAATTAACATTGAAGGTACTATGCGATTTATATGAAGTAGGGTTAGGAAATGTTCCAAAAAACTCGAAAAATGCAAAAAATCAATAGAAATGCCGCCTGATTCTAGAATCCGCATGCTTAGAAGCCAACTGAAATTGTTGTGACCAGTGATCGAGGATGAAAAAATTGTGGATGGTCGAAAAGATCGAGAACCCGTCAGAACAGTTGTCAGGTGAGAGTGGACATGTTTTCAAGATGAGTTATTGGGTAATAATGTCTGATGAGTTTGCACAGAGAGTCGCTTTACGCTTCGATAAAAGATTAAAATTTTTTTACTGATTTAAGAATGAATCAAATTGAGCGAAAAATGTTTTTTTTTGACACTTGAATGTTCAAAATTTCAGGAAAAACGCTCAAACAAAGATCACCTGTAAAAAAATCTTTAGTAAACTTTTCAAAAAATTTCTGATCTGTTTTGATAAATTTATCTCTTGAAATTGTGGGGAAAACATTTTTTTTTGTTTTTCGGACGACAGTCTTTTTATTATTTTTTTCTCAATAAATGTATAGCGTGAACACTCTTATATAACGACCTGTTAATTTTTAGCTCGCATATCTCATTACCGGAAAAAGATTAAAAAGTGGTCTACTGAACAAACTTTTATAGCAATGTCAAGCATATTTTGTCAGTTTCCTTCAGTGGCTTACATCATTAACGGCGCTTCCTTCAGTGGCTTAAATCATTAACTAGGTGCACTTTTCAAAATAACTTTTTCTAAATCCGATTTTTTATATTTCCGATTCCGTGAAATTGAGAAAAAAATATATGCGTTCAATCATCCCAAATTTTATTGATTTAAAATTATATTATACATGGAAACATGGAAAGCAGTGTTAGGACGTCAATTATGACAGAAAAGCATTTTTCATCGTTTAATAGGCGAGGATGACGTAGCAAGCGTAGATGATTCCTGGAATGTATCCGAGAATGGTGAGAAGGATGCAGATGGCAAGATGGTAGTCGCATCCCTTCTCTAAGAAGACTCCAACTGGCTGAAAATTCAAAATATGTACTTGTTATAGTTTTCACGGTGACTATAAATAAATAAAACTAAAACTTACTGGAAGAAGAACAGCGCAGATGAACTTTGGAATGTCGGTGCAGGTAAGAGCCATGGCGAACAGTAGTTTTCAGAAGTTTTAAGAAACTGAAAAACTCAAATTTGAAAAAATTACAAAGAGAAACAAGCTATTTTTCAGAGAAAAAGATGCAAAGGTGAAGGGAAATGGAAGAAATGAAAGTGGAGGACTAAGCGAGGCGGAGAAGATGTATCCATGGGAATGTCCCGAAAACAAAATCACTATGGGTTACTGTGCATCAAGCGGAAAAAAGGTCATGCGAATTTTGTGACATGTGGCCAATTTTTGTGACATGTGGCTAGATCCACAGAGTTTGGAAATTTGTCGCATGAACTTCAACGACTTTTTATTTTACGATTTTTCTATGACTTTGAAAGTTGGAATTTGAAAAAGAGATATGTTCGAAACCCGAGTGTCATTGAAATATGAGTCAATAATACTCATTTTTCAAATAGGTATTGAAAAGGAAAATGCGTTTGGATCAGTGAGAAGAGAGGAAATCTATGAAAGAGGAACGAAAACCACCGGCGGGTCGAGTGGTGACTGACTGGTTCGAAAATGGGTGGAGTATGCCGAAAGAGGACGGCAATGTTTGCGGGAAAACATTGAAAGTGAGGAAACGATAAGAGGGAATAGTGAAGAGGACACAATGTTTCCATAGAAATGCATGACGGTTGGCAGCGGCTACCGTTAAAAGGGAAATAGTATTTTGTACTTTTGCGTATAGGAGAAATTGAGGTATTTCGTTTATAGGGGGGTTTGATTTCAGAAGACATGTGCGTATTTTAGAAACATTGTGTTCCTCTTAAAAAGAGAGAGACTGGAGTCATAGATCACAGGTCATGCATGAAACTGTTCATGTATTGAGAAGTTGCACAGATCAAGATTACTGTTGAAAATATTCGAATTTCAAATCTGTAGTGTTTCAGACTCAAATACAAATTGCCGCATTTGTTGTGATACTTTCGCTTACACAATTACCGTATTTCCACTGATTGCAGCCCCTGAAACTATCAACTTTGAGCTCAGTTATCCCGATTTTTGTGGAAGCTATAAAAAGGTTGCCAGTTGATAAAATGTTGGTAATTTTACAAAACTGTTTTATCAATAAACAAAGTTTTGATATCATTTACAGGAGTCGAAAGAAGTTAGCTCAAAGTAGACGCTTTTAACAGGCTTATACTAGAGGAAATACGGTAATTTTGTAAATGAAACGATCAGAAAAAACCTTACATTAGAAGTTGCAAAAAGTAAATTATTGAAATTAATTTGCATCAGTTCTTCATTATATGAGAAATCCCGAAGTTTAAATTTTTCGAGAAACTGTTCTAGACATCATGCAGACTTTTTTCGCATTTTGTGTTCATGGTTTTTCGTATTTTCTTCTCAGAATCAAGTTCCTTATTGTCTATTCTACCAGAGCCGTTTTTCAAATTTCCTATTTGCTTTGTTGTCCAAAAAAAACAAAAGCTCCTCGGAGTTAATTTTCTAAGAATACATTCTACCACGCTAACAGCCGTTGAATTATTCACAACAACCACAAAAAAGCAGAAGATCGAAAAGTCAAATTTTGGAAATGGAAAACGAGGAAGAAATAATTTTTCTGTAGGTTGTTGAAGACCGAAGTATGAAAACTTTCCTTGAAATTTCCCATCCAATCCTATTTATATGTTTGTGACAGGAGAAAAATCGCTGGCATAGGGATGAAAACAAGAGAAAAGAAAACAGAGAGTCAGAAGGCACCATTTCTTTTCTCATATGTGCGCTCAGCAAACACTACTGTTTCTCTAACACTGAGTAATACCTTGAAAGTAGCCGTAATTTCACAATATGTGTAGTCTCTTCTGACTGACTCACGCCTGGTTTACTGGTTCTGAAATTTTTGTTAAGAACGCAAAAGACATGGCAAGGCTGATGGGAAACGGAAAACAATTACTGAGTAACTGGACAACGCAGTTAAGATGGATGTCGACCCGGTCCTAAAAATGAAAATTTTTGGAGTTGGAAGGAAGAAAAACGAAGAATGGGCAGAGAAGAAGACAACAATAAATAAAAGACCATCGGTCAAGTGACTGGTTGTGGGAAAAGGGGCGGACTTTCTGTCCTCAGGGTCCCATGGAGTAATCTTTGATGCATGAGTTGTCATTGGTACATAGAAGTATCACACAAACGGAGTAACCATCAATAATTTCATTTCGCTGGGAACAAATCGAACCAACAAGAAAGCATACTGGTGTCTGAAACAGAAATGTCTTGTTTTTTAGGGAAAAACAAACAGTGGAAAAACGTATTTTGTTGAGTGGTCCTGGTCCCCATTCATTTTTAGCAATTTGTGAGCCATACTTGAGTAGATTGAAACCGTAAAACCGGGAAAAGGGTTTTGGCAGCCATACAAGCAATTTTGTGATCAAGGATTATAAAATAATTGTCAATGTAGTACCTTGTACGTTACTAATCTGACCAGTCCCGCAGACGAACAGTTCCCTATTTTCAGAAGTAAACAAAACTTCGAACTTTGTTCATTTGGGGAAAGATCGAACTGAAATTCTAAATTTGATAACAGCATTATTTTTCTTTTTTCAATACTCTTCAAACATCAAGCAAACTTCTTCTAGAAATTATATTTTTTCAGAGCTAATTCATTTAGTTCATTGAAACAGGCAAATTGGGGGTGTTCGAGAATTCTACTATTTCTCAATCCTCGAAAATTGACGTCCAAACTAAACAGTCAGCAGCAAACTCTTTTTCATTCCACCCCATTCATCTTCAGAAACCATTTCATTCTTACGGTTCATTTCCTGACACCTCATCTTCTTTTCTGAGTCATATTGTGGTTTCTTTTTGCTCCTTTATTCATACAAAACTGTTCACATCAACATAAAAGTGACAGAATCACATCGAGAAGATTGAAAGATGCCAATACTTTGAATAATTGGAGAGGGGAGATGATTTTTGTTGGAAAAGTAATTTTTAAAAGATGTTTGTGGTTATGGCGTCATTATGTCAAGAATTTGTGAGTTCCAAAGCAGATTTAGTAGGCGAGGATGACGTAGCAAGCGTGGATGATTCCTGGGATGTATCCGAGAATGGTGAGCAGGATGTTGATGGCCAAGTGGTAGGTGCATCCCTTCTCCATCCAGACTCCGATTGGCTAGAATACCATAACTTTAGAATCAACCACTATGTTTTAATTCAACCTACCGGAAGGAGCAGAGCGCAGAGAAACTTTGGAATGTCGGTGCAAGTGAGAGCCATAGTTGTCGAGATGAGCTGTTCTGGAATACTTCTTTTGAAAACTCGTTTGGGGTGTGGTTGAGAATAACAATATAATGAGGGCGAACGAATGAGATTAGAACCGAATGCATTATTCGGTGTCGAACTGAAGGATTTATGAGAGTGAGTGGATTGGGTATATATTATTCTGGTGGAGGGCCAGCCAGATGGGCAAAGGCGAAAAAAAAAATATATATATATATATACAGAACAGATGCATGAAGAATAAGGACGCTTCTTCTCCTTTCACAATACTGACTCACTTTTCTCAAACGAAATGTTCTGAAAGTTTTTCGCAAAGTTTTGAATCCTATGATTCAGCAAATTGAAAAGTTTTAAGAATTTCGTAATTGTAAGAACAACTAAAACATGACTACTGGAAGAAACTTTGCCAAAGACTGCTGGTTTTATATCCAAAATCCTAGAAATAAAAATAAGTGGGCGTTTCGTTTCTTGAACAATCCACAAAACGATTTTTTCGGAAATGATCTGTGACTTAAAGGCTCATTTCTGAATCCTTAAAAATCACAATTATGTCACATCTTGTATATTTATATTTGTCATGAGAAAGAGCGAGAGATGTCGCGCAAACAACTCAACAAATGGTTCATGTTTGTATTTGAAATTTGCTACCAGCAGAAGCAGCAGCAGAAATGAAGCTTCACACATACTAGACAATCGTTTGGGATTGTGTACTGCAAACAGAACGGGTAACATGAGGCCTCAAGAAGACACTTGGATTTTTAGAAACATCTTTATGTAAAAAAATGAGTTGTGCGAAATCTACCAACGTCAAAAAATGGATAGCAGAATATGCAGCAAGAAACCGATGGGAGGTAGATGACAAAGGTCGAAATTTGCCATGATCGAGTGAGGAGAGAGAGACGAAAAATCGGGTAGCGAAGATGCCAAAAAATTGTTTACAACGACAGGAAGGTACTTGAAAATCTGACCTTCTTGCAAACTTGAATTTCATAGAAAGTTGAAACAATGAATCAGCATGATTGTTTAGCATCTGAGGTTCAAAAGTCCAAAGTTGTTTCAGTGAGGTTCACAAAAGAAGAAGCTTCCAGTGTTTGAGGGTTTTCTTTCCACAGTTAATGATTTCCCTAGAGAGTTTTTGCTTAGAACTCAGGCTATGCGTCTACCCGTTTTCTCAAAACTTCTAAATATTATAACCTAACCATCACATCGTTCTGAAGTATTAACTAAATGTAAATAAGCTACATAGTCTGATTTATCAATACGTTTCTTGTAACACTAATTCCTGCATTCATAAATTTACATTGAGAATTCAAAAGATTTAAATTTCCGGTAATGCCAAAAGGAAATTGTATTTGTATTCCAGGAAGTCTGCTAGCCAGTGTGCGCGTGATGGGAAATGGATAATCCATCAAATGCATACTAATGAAAAACGAAAGAAAGAGCAAAAGGACACGAGACGCCAGACGCATCTAAAGAACCGAATAACACAAAAGCGAACGGTGGAGAAATGATGTATAGTGCCTCAAAGACCGACCAGGGGTCACCCAAAACCGAGGTCAACACAAATCCGTCCGTCACGTGGTGTGTGTGTCTAGAGAGGGCCCAACACAAGTAGGTCTGTGGGATAGAGGAGAGAGAAGAATCATCTTGTTTTTCACGCCAAATGGTGTGCTCGTCCTTCTCTCTTTTTTTTCTGCGAAATTCGATCATCTCTAAGACATCAGAGCTCGAATTTAGAAGAAGAAGATGCCTTTTCTGGAAAGCTGTTTTTTTTGAAGGGCGGAAAAAAAGAAAGAGAGGAAAGAGGAACACAAAAATAATAACAGGAAAGAAAGACAAAACGATGAACTTTTCCAGACATCAAATATTAGGGATTAGCAATACCTGATATTCTCAGGATCTTCAAATTTCCATGACATGGGTACGAAATATAATACAACCTGGTACTAGAAGTCATTTCAGTTGTAGTTCATTCTTTATACATTCATTTATTCATCAAAATTGTCACAATGTCAATAAAGAAAGTCAATTGGTGTATTTCTGAGCAGTACAAATTTAAACAAAAGAATTTTCAGCCAATGACTTCTTAGGGTTCATTTCAAAAATATTTATTCAACCAGAATCTAAAAATTCCGGATTTCAAGAAATTTTCGATTTCAATGAACTTCGAAGTGATCGCAATAGGAAATTTTTTAACTGAGAAAAGAATTCGGGAACATTCCGGTTGAAATATTAAATTTTTTGAAGTTCCGAATTCCGTTCCACACATCCCTGCATTCAACACTTCAACGAAATAGTTTATTCAGCAGGAAAAGAGACTGTAATGTACAATAATTCATCAGAAACTGCATATTGTGTAGATTTCTTTCACCGACACTTTCACACGTTCCAGATGGATGGCGGGGAACAAAAAGCGAAATAGTATAACAAAACATAAATATAAAGTTGGATACCGGTCAACAAACGAAAAAGGAATAAAAAAGCCGATTGAAACCAGCTTCGCAAAAATATGAATTATTCCTGCTTGAGTGGTTTGTCAGATATGATCTCCGGCTTCTTTTCAGAAACTGGTACTGGCTTTTTGAGTGGTTTGAAAAACTTTGGCAGGGCAAAAATGACGGCAAAAGCGACGATGTGTGGAATAAAGTAGACTCTCCACAGAACATCATAAGCTGGATACAAATGCATTGTTACGAAGGAGTAGGTAGCGTAGGCCAGAGCAATCTTGCTGATGATGAACGAGAAGATGTCGTAGGCGAACTTTTTGTTGGCATCGTCCAAGAATCGCCAGCGCATGCAGCGTCGGAACTGAAAAAAAATTCGATAATTATTGGGAAAACGATTTTTGGATTCTAAATTATATCAAAGGGTGAAAAACGCACAGTCTGAGCAGCAACAGTGAACAATCCACAGGTGAAGAAAGCCATGTAATATCCAATAGAAACTCCATGCCAGACGGCGGACAAAGTGTACGTGGCGACAGTGCGAATGGATTTTGGAGCACGCTCATATCCAACTTTTCTCAGCCAGAATCCGGTTTGGATGTTCCATCCGTCAAGGGTTTCCTTCAAACTTTGAGCCATTTCAACTTGGTATGGGAGTACATTGGTGCAGAGCTTCCATTCAGCGTTTCCTTCTTTGTCGTATCCACTGAAGCCGAATCCAGACATGTTGCAGATGGCGTCAGCTGAAATGAAGAGTTAAAGGAATCTTTGAATTTCGCATTAGCGATGACTAGTTTTCGTTGGAATTGTCGATCAAACACTTACCAAACACCCATGCGAAGTAGTAAGCACATCGAATGAAGAAAATGGTAATGAACCACCAGAAGAACCATTGCCACATTGGAAGTTTGAAGTATTCTGGAGTTCCGACGTCTTCTACTTTGTAGCTAGCTCCAAGGGTCACAACAATGGCAAGGAATCCAAGAGCTTGACAGAATTTCTTCATAGCAACTCCGGTAGAAGATGGAAGTTTTCCATGTTTGTTAGCTACGAGGTGCTTCTCATCCAGGAAATTGATGTAGTCATAGTAGTTGTTGGCTGGACCGGTCAGCACAGTCTGAAAAGATTTGTTTCTTAGAATTAGCTACTTAAAATGGCTTCTCACCTGGAAGTTGAACATGAAGGACATGTACTCAAGAAGCGATGGAATCTCTTTCAATGACTCTTTCTTTTGTTCATCAGTCAGTTTCGATTGATCCTTAGCTTTTCCATCTTTCAAATTAAACGCCATCATTGTCACTTTCTCAACAGCAACCATAATCGGCCCAGTGACGTCTAAACTGTAGGTGTCGAGAATGACCCAGCGATAGGAGTGAATGAAGAAAAGATATCCCATGGAGAACAGCAAGACTAGCCTGGAAAAATATTGTAACCATTAAATATTTGAAGAAAATACATACTTATGAACTTGAGTAGGTGGCGCGAAATACATGATGGCGTAACTTCCAAGAGCGTTTGCAAGTAGATGTTTGATGGCTCTGAAATTGTTGATTTTTAGCATCTCTTTGGTTTTTGGGATCTTACCTTCCAAAACAGAAAAACAACAATGTGATTCCAACCACTGCAGGTATTACTGTCCTCACTTGTCGATTCACTTGTTTCAGAGAGCATGTCTTTTTGTAGATGTACGAAATTCCAAAACTGGCAAACAAGCTGAGCACGAAGTTGACCTAAAAAACCGAATTTTGTTTCACAGACCTAAAAAAGAAAGAACTCACTCGATCCACTTCCAAACCAATTGATTCAGCAAGAGGTTCCAAAATTTTAGATCCATCGTAAAATGTGTGTATTCCCGGCATTTGAAAGCTGAAAAAACCAACAAATAATTATGATTAGCAAAAAGTAGACGACTATCTAGCGGAAAAAAGACTAGATAATAAATCAAAACATATTGCTTAGAAAAAAATACATAAATTTCAATGTCCTTTCCCATGATTGATGGTGATAATGAAAAAGAAATTTATCGCAAATCAGGATAAAAAACGTTTCGTCAAAGATGAGCTACTTCTGATAAGAAACAGATAGGGATGGTGAATGTCGAGAAAGAGTGGAAAAGAAAAAAAAAGACAATTGGTTGGCCTGCGAGGAGTATCACGCCACCAGCGGCGCGTTTGTGTCGTGCCTTTGGAAAAAAAACGCACTGCCGGTCAAGGTCTAATTTGAAGTCACCGACTCCTCTTCCGGAGACGACACATTTCACTCTAGTTATTCTACCAGCCTGGTTTTTCTTGTATTCGACACGCAACAACAACAATAGCACGCGGAAAAACTGTTGAGAGGAATGAAAATTTAGGAGAGAAATAGAGAAAAAGAGACATACAACATGAACTCCGCAGTTTTTCGACTGTTTACTTTTTCGAGCTGAAGGGTCACGCGGTATAATTTTGGTTAAACTGTCCGCGGAACTGTTTTTTTTTTCGAAAAGTAGAAAAAACGAGTGAAAGGGAAAAAAAGAAGGGCCACAACGCAACAATCAATAACGCAACAAAGCAATAACAATGAGTGATGACCCCTCGTTGTGTATTCAAACATTCTCTTTCATAATAGAGCGCATTTACTTCGCCTCGTACGGTTTTCCTTTGGGAAACTTGCCCATTCAACCGTTCCCGGATTCTTCACTAAATCTAACTGTGGCTGATAAGGTTTATAATGCGGGTAAAGTACACTCACGCCGATAATTATCAATAGAAAAAAGAATTCCACGAGGTTTTTCTTGTGTTTCTTTCATTAAGAAAAATGTTGCGAGAACGAAAAAAGACACACTTTGCAAAAGAGGTCATGACGCAAAAAATTGAATATGCAAAAAAAAGAAAAAGAGTGCTTTTCCCTTCTTGTTGAGAATGTTGAGTGGGTCAAAAATTTCGAAAAAAAGAAGAAACGAAAAAAAATGCATAACGTTCATTTCATAAATAAAAAGAAAACTATGAGGTTTGAAAACTACTTTTAAGTAGACGGAGGTTTCAATTCCAGTAGTATACATACACGTGAAAGACATGGTTATTATGATTTTTCGGGGATGAGAAATAGAGAAACAATAAAATAGGTATATGAAGTCATGAATAAATAAGAGAAAAATAGATTAAATAGGTTTATTAAATAATTAAACGATACCACCGGCTGGGTTTTCTAACCAAGGATACATTGTTGGACATGGCAAGCATGTCAAGAACTGATGCTCTTGGCTAGATAACGACGGCGTACTGTAGAGACATTTGTTAGGTTTGTCGCAAGTGGATAATGATGGATTGCGGTTGAAGGACAGTGTGATTGGGCAGCCAACTGCTTTGGACTGAAAGTCCAAAATTGATAAAAACAATGAAAGTCCAGGTAACTTACAGCTTTCATTTGGCTAATTGAAACTGGCCGTTTCATCCAGTCAATAAGCTGCTTGATAGTCACAATGTATACATCCTTATTAGCTGACATCTTATTCAAGAACCTCTGCACTGCCTTCATTCCCTTATTTTGTCCACCAAGTTGCAGGAAGTCAGCATTCAATGACAACACATATGGCGCTCGGTTTGCGGAGTAGCTTCGTTCGAAATTTCGCATTATGATCTCTTCCTAAAACCCTAATAATTAGTAAAAACTATTTTTTCAATGATTTGTCACCAATTCATCAACAGTATTATTCAAATCAACAGCGGCGCGAAGCATACTAGATCTTCTGAAGCTGTCGATTTGTCTCATATAGGAACCGTAGAACTGGTTCAAAGGAACAGTCCAAATTCCGGGGAATGAGCTCTTCGGGCATGATTCCTCATGACAATCCCATGCCACTTGGTAGTCCATGGTTTGAGGCCAGAATGGTTCTCCATGGATTCCCGGGTTCGCTGACATTGAGTTGTCCCACAGGAATTCAGCTCCAGACATCATCTGAATATTGTCACATTCAATAAATTAGAACATCAATAATGAAAACCTCAAACTGATTATCACCACCTAGTGCCAGCTGTGGGGAGCGAATGCCGACAATTTGCTCTTCTGGAGCACCACCAAATTTAGCCAAAATTCTTCGCTGTCCATCCATCTCGTTCAACCATCTATTCGTGTTTTCATGCTCTAATGACTCGTGACTAAAAAGATCGAATTGTCAAATGTAGTCCTTCATAAATACTCACGAAATGGAGTTTGAAGCGATTTCCATATTTTTCTGAACAAGCCAGTTAACGGCGTCATAGTTGGTCCATTCGTGGGAAATGAAGAATGTTGCTTTCACATCACAGCCGTTTGGATTTTTCAATACATCATTTTCAAATAATTTTTTGTAATCTGGGAACGTTTTTCCGTTCACAGCATCATCAAACGTCAAAACTACAAACTGTGGAGTCTCATTAGGACGGAGTCCTCCAGGAGCTTGTCTTCCTGGAAATTACATATCTTGTTTTTTTTTTCAATTATGTATGGTCTCCACCATCATCACTGCAGAAACAATTAGGAAGTTTACACTCTGCTGTATTACACGGCTGGGCTCTCTGTCTGTTTGGTACTTGCATTGATGAGAACCTCAATCCGGCTCCATTCACGAACTGCACTTTCGAACTGCGCGCTTCTGTAAACAACCGGTGCTATTTTTGAAGTGATGTCAGGAATTACTCACCAATCGGTCTACAGTAACCGTCCTCAGCAAAATGGTGATCATCGCATTGACACATTCCTTCCACACATATTGCTCCGCCGGTACACTTTTCACGCATGCTGCAAGTGTCTCCTGGAGCGGCGAAAGCCGGAGCAGCTGGAATAATTTTATATGGTGATAAGGCAGCGACAAAAAAGAGATTGTTCACATTTTTGTTTACAAATTCCTCGGATTGCCACATGCTGTGCAGCACAGATGCATCGTTTTCTGTCATAATCACAAATTGAACCGCCAGCACAGATTTCTCCATTCTTGCATGTTTCTCCAACCTTGGCAACTTTGTGTTTGCTCTCAGCTGTAAAAATATGCCTACACAACTGTTCTTTGGTTTCTCTAGTCTTACTAGAAATACATTGACCATTTTGACGAATGTAACCTTTTGGGCAATGACAGAATCCATTTGTGCAAACGCTCTCTCCAAGACAAATATCAATTGACCGACAAGCTGATCCAACAGCAGCAACTTTTGGTACTGGCTTGGTTGTTCTTCTGTCAGGAAATCCGAAAATATTGGATGGGGGAGTTGGGAAAGAATTGTCTGTGATAATTTGTTGTTGAACTGGAGCACTTGTAGTGGTTGTGGTGATCACTGAAATTTCTAGAGATTGCTGAAAAGACACTCATCGTTTTTAAAATTCGTACCATTTTGCTTTTTGGTTTGAACAACACGGTTAGCTTTTGTTGGTGGCGTTGTTTCAACTGATTGCTTATTCATCTCGATTGCCTTTGCCAAATCAAACCCTTCACACCATCCATTTGGCGCCAAAAGGAATCCTGGCGAGCACTTGCAGATCTTATCGATACACTTTGCTCCATTGATACATTTGTCTTGATAGCGATCGCAAGCCTGACCGTATTTTAACGATCTTCCTCGAATACCTTTGAACATATTTATTTATAATTCACAAAATGAAAAGAACAAACAAACGTTTTAGTGAGAAAATTCTGTGACAGAATACATGAATCCACACGTGTAATACAATTAGTGATGTGGTGGTGGTTGGGGAAAACGGAAGGAAATAAATGGGCAAAATAGGGGAAGACATTTTGAGTAGAATAAGTTCGAAACATTGAATTATATATATATATATAAAATTACAGTTAATGTTTTTTTTTAATCACCAGTCAGATTTTGAAGAAAATGAAAATAGTTGAAAAACGTAAGGGTTGGGGGAGGGATGAAAGACAAAGAGTCTCAATATAGAACATCTGGGTATTTTTCAATAAATTAGTGACACTCTGACACTCTTTTTGTGGTGGGGAAGATAACGAACATTTCTATTACCAGAAAATGCTCATTAAAAATATGGTCATGAATAACTTGTTAACTATACAAAAATATCTACCACGACTTGCAGCAGTTATACTCCTCGGTAGCGAAACCGCCAGAAGTGATATAACAGTAGGACCTAGGCGGGCAGTTGGGTTCAAGACCATTGCAGATGATTAGTTTTCCACTGTCATCTCTGGTTGGCTCATTGCCAGGCGGACAGTTTGCATTTCCGCTTCCAGTCTTGTAGCTTCTCGATCCACCACTTCCACCACTGCCTCCTCCGGATCCTCCACTATTCTTATTCTTTGGTCTTGGTCGCCGGATTGGTGGCCCCACGATTCTCGGCTTCTGCGTGATGGTTTCTTGTCTGGCTGGTGTTGCAACTGTGACAGGTTCAATGTTAGAAATTTCAATTTGCTCTCTGGGTAACATTCTTTCAGACAGAGTGGCAACCTTGTGTTTAGCATACGAGACTGGAATGGGTCGCTCGATGACGTCGATGTCTGAAATGCTCAGTTAGTACACACGGGTAGGATGAACAACAACAACAACAACAACAGCAACACTTCACAAAAAACGTGGTTGGTTTTGATAATTTTTGGGAAAGAAAGATATAAAACCACACACAAGTTGCTAGGTTCGGTTTTTCTCACCTTCCAATGGTTCACAAGTTCCGGAATTATCAACAAATCCCGGTCTACATTTGCACTTCCCAGAGACACAAATCTTGTTCTCTCCACAATTGGCATCCTGTTCACAGTCAGCTGGAAAATCAAATTTTCAAAAACATCTAAATTTCGAAAACTCACTAGAATGCAATGGTCTTAGTGTGACAACTGGAGCAGCTTTGGTTGGTACAGTAACCCGGGTGGTCAACTGTGGCTGTGTTGGTGGTGGCATACATTGCACATTGAACACAATTTGTCCTGGTGGGCACATACAAATTCCAGTGTCATAATCACAACTAGATCCTCCTTCGCAAACTTCTCCACTCTCGCAACTTTCTAATGGTTTCGCCACCACTTTCATTTTTGGAGTGGTTGACATCGGAAGGGCAACACAGTTTCCAGAAACTGCGATGTATCCAGGTTGACAACGACAGAGCCCGCTTTCACAGCTGGATATTGGTTTTTATTTAGTGAGACGTTCCAAAAGAATTCTCTAACTTACGTGCTTCCTTTAGTACATTGAGTGTTGGCATTACAGGATGCTCCTGGTACAGCTTCCATTTTTTTCGGGGTCACACATTGTCCTTGAGAAATTTCAGACTTGTCTTGTGGGCATTCACAGAGCTAGAATAACAAAAACGATTAATTAGCAATTTAAAAACATTGAAAACCTTTCTGAACGAGCAATTACTTCCACCAACACACGTTTGTCCTTGTGTACAAGCCTCACCTGGTTTCGAGTATACTCTAGCGGTTGTGGCTGAAAACAATGATGTCTAATATGGTCATTCAAATGGTGAATGGTTTTAAAAGTGCGAGCAAATAATCGGGCTCTTTGTGCTATAAGCAGCAAGTGGAGGTGTACTTTTTGAGACTTTTTGAACTTTCTAAAAACACTGCAAATTCAACCACGCAAATACACACCAAGCAGTTATGATAATACAGAAGAATAAAACTCGTCATCCATGTTTTTGTTGTCAATTTTCAAACCTTCATGTCGTGCTTTCCCACGAGCTTTTCGCCGTGCCGCCTCTTCAGGTGAGACACATCCGTCGTGATGTAGTACATAATTCTCGGGACACTGGCAGGATTTGTTTAAACACACGGTGTTACCCTTGCAAATCAGACCAATCGCCGTGCACTCATCGTCGGTCTGTATAGCAGTGGTGGTTAGAGGAACATGCGTTGGAATTTCGATGAAAGCAGGCTGTCGGCGGGTGCTCAACAAGTCGGCAATTGTAAATGAGAACACGCTAGTTGTGGCTGGTGGCGGTGCTGGCGTTGTGGTGTACGTGGTACCTTGGGTTGTCATGGTGGTCGACGGCAAAGTGGTCTGTCTCGAGGTGGACGTGGTTGTGAACTTTCCACAACGTCCGTTGTTGCTGGGCTGTTGACCCGCTGGACACAGACATAACCCTTCTATGCAGTTACTCCCACCCACACAAACATCAATAGGTCCTAGAAACAAAGGAAAGTTAATGATAGAACAGAGAAGAGACACTTCAAACCACATCTTCCTCCAGGTACGACTTTCTTGCCTTGTGGTGGGGCTTCGGTGACGAATGGTTGAGCTTTTGTGATGGTGACCTGTGGAACATGAACAGAAATTGGAAGTTGTGGTGGCAATGGAACATGGGGGATCGACGTCTGTAAATTTTGTGGGTTACAAGGAGCACAAAAAACTGTTAATACTCTTGGAGGCAATGTTGGTTTTGGTCCGGACTGGATGCAAATTCCACGGTTGACAATCATAGATGGATCTGGGCAAATGCACCATCCTGGAATATCTTGGTGAATTTAGTAAATATTGTTTTGTTTTGTTACCTTCTCTGCAAACAGATCCTCCAGTGCACTCACGGAGATTGGAGCAAGAGCCTCCCGGTGGAGATGTGATTGGCTCATTGGCTGTAATAGACTGCTTGTGTTAGAAAGTAAGTTCTGAAGATCTAGTTAATTATAATAAACGGTTAAAGGGATTCATGCTAGTAGTTAGAAAGGGGGAAATCCACTTACGATTACATTTCAAATCACCAAACTTGCACATGCAAATTCCACCAAGACATGTTAGATCCTCACGACACCTTGTCACATTACTACACTGAGAACCAAATCCGATATGCCAGTCACGAGAAACACACTGGTCATTTTCAGGCTGGTCTTCGTAACTGCACACGCAATAGTTTTTGTAGCAAATCGAATCGTTTCCACATTTCCGATTCTTGTCACATCCACTTCCCGGAGTGACTGATTCACGGAGATCCACTATGGATTCCAGGCAGTTTTCAGTGTTTCCGTCACAGACGCACACGTATTCAAGACACTTGAAATTCGGTTGGCATTCAGAATCATTAGCACAGTCGATAGAAGCAAGTTCTCGTCTGACTAGGCTTCTCAAGCTGGGCTCGTCGTCATTACTTTGTTCTTCTTCTAGATTCACAAAGTTTTGAGTTTCTTCTTCTTCCTCTTCTTCTTTCTCATTTAGCAAGAATTTATTAGAAGTTGACGTCACACAATTGCCATTATCATTTCTTGTGCCATCCGGACACTCGCAGTTCGAATCACCACAAATCGAGCCATTAATACACACCTCTCCATTTTCACATGATGTTTCTGGAAGGGCGCCAATGACACAGATGCCAAGAATCAGACGCTTATCATCCCCACATTTACACTTTCCAGAAACACACTCGCTACCAGAAAGACACATGGATTCTTGATCACAGGATCCATCAATTGGGATCAATGAATACGAGTCTTCAATTGCCAAACATTCCCCATTCCAAAGTACGGTATCTTCGACGCACTGGCAAATAAGTCCCAAACCAAGAATACTTTGACAAGTGGAATTGTTTTCACATGTCTCCTCATTCTGACAGTTTTCCAGTGGTAGAGAACTAGTTCTTCTCATTTCGATCTTTTTTCCTTGACTGAATCGAAACTCTCTGCCTAGAGGTTGTAGTCCGAGAACTCGGAGATCATCCACTTGTGGTGGACAGATACCATTTTCAGCTGCCACATCTTGAAGGCATCTACAGAAATGGTTCTCACAAACTGAGTTGCCTAGGCACACTTCTCCATTCCCACAATATTCCCCAGGAAACGCAATCTTATACTTCATCGTGCTATTGTTCTCTTCTTCGGCAACAGTTTTGGCACCGTAAGCAATGGGAAAACTGGAAAAGATTTGAGGAAAATTGGAGTTAGGTTGGTTAGTCTCGGGTGGAGGAGGGATCATTGTAAAGGAGAGAATCTCTGGAAACTTGGTAGTTGTGTGGAATAATCCATCGTTGCTCACTTCTTGAAGTCCTCGAAATTCGTTTTTCAGCGAGTTTTGAAGTGGAGTATTCTCACCGATGTTCTTGTCAAAGGGGAGAATACTGAAACTTTTGTATTCCGGAGGACTATTGAAACACATGTTATCAGCAATCTTGTGACCGTTTTTGCAGACACAATAACCATTGTCACAGTAACTGGACTTTTGACAGTTTCTTGAAGTGACGCAGTCTTTTCCAATCGACTCAAAAGTGTTTTCACATTTTTTTCCTTTTGTTGCCATACCAGATGGACATTCACAAACACCACTCATTAAACTACAGTAGCTGTTGTAACTGCAAACTGTTTTCACAGATGTGCAGTCTTCCCCAGGATGAGCCATTTTGGTATTTTTGCAATTTGCACCGGTACAAGTGCAGATTCCAAAAACACATTCTGAGTTATCAAAGCATTGATTGGAAGTGACACACGGCTCTCCAACAGCAATCGCTGGTTCACAAATTCCAGATGTTGCTCGGAATCCTGCCATACAGTTGCATGAGTTGGCAAAGCAGAATGAGAAGGATGGGCATTCGGAGTTTTGAGTGCATTGATGACCAGCAAGAATTGATGTGAATGGTCTGTGAACTGCTGGAGGTGTCATATCTGTTGGTATGGAGTTTTTGAATTCCATTTCCATTTTCTCAAGCTCGTCAATTTTCTGTTGTACATAATTATTATCCAGTGTAGTTGTGTAGACAGTGGTTGTTGTCGTTGGTGGAGCTGTTGTAGCTATCGGCTTGATTTTATTGAAGACAGAAATAACTGAATGTTTCTTAACGCACTTCTTGTTCACATCTGCCACCTCGTCATTTGGACAACGACATATTCCATCTTTGGCACAATACGATCCTCCACCACATGGCTCACCGTTAGCACACGATTTTCTAGGAATGACTAAAAGCGCCAAATGGATCGGAACACATTTCTGACCATCGCTAACAAGTCGTCGTTGACATTTACAAACTCCATACTGACAAATAGATTCTCCTACGCAGTCATATCCATTTGAAGGATCGCATGTCAATCCAGGCAAGATATGATGTATTGCTGATCGACAGGTAGATTCGATGATGGTCTCTCCTTTCTTGCACCGGCATACTCCATCAATACATTTAGTACGGAAAGAACATTCAGAAGTCGATGTGCATTGTGATCCGGGAATAGATTTACCGGGGTGAGAAGAGAAGGAAATTTTCTCTTTCTGACAGATGTCATTGTTCAGTTTGAAGCCTGGAAAGCAAATGCATTGTCCATCAACGCATTTCCCATTTACCGGGCAGAAGTCATCGGATGTGCAATCATTGTTTTTGGGAAGCGTTTCAATGCTGCCAGTGGATGAAGTGGATTCTTGAGTTGTGAGAATTGAGCACCTATCATTTTCTAGTACCAAGTCCGCATCACAAAGACAAACTCCATCCCTGCAAATCGATCCTGCCAGACAAGTGTCTTCCGGTGAACATGGCATTCCTGGTGTTTTATCCTCTCCAACAATTTTGTTATCCGATACGCTTGTTGCAACTGCATCATCTCCATTCACACATCTACCAAGTACCGCAACGGTTTTTGATACACACAAGCACATACCAAACCGACATGCGGCTCCATTCACACATGTCTGTCCCCGACGACAAGTTGATCCGATTGGCACCGCTGTTTGAACACATCTTTGGTTGTCGAGTGTACGCGAGGGATCACATCGGCATTTGCCTAGATAGCAGCTACTGCCACCGGAACACATCTCGCCGTTTGAACAATGACCGCCGGGGAACTGTTTGCATTTGCCGGTGATCTCGACAGCTCCGTCGACACATTGGCATAGCGCGTCTTTGCATTTTGATCCGCCGGCACATCGATCCTTTGACGTGCATTGATTGTTGATGTTTTTGAAGGCGCCATAGAAATGCATCGGTTGACAGTTACCATTCTAAAACGCTTCGCCGTTGAAATGTGAAATGAAACAATGTAACTTACAATGTCGAACTCTTCCGATTCACATTGACACCTTCCATTCTCACAGGAATAATGAACTGGACAGTTAGCAGAACTAGTGCAATTTGAGTCTCTTAATCTAACATCCAAGTTTTCAGGGACACAAATCCCATTCTTCTCTTGAAAGCTTGGTGGGCACTGGCAAATCCCCTCTATGCAGATTGCATTTCTACTTTTACAGATTCCTGGATTCTCCATACATCCATCAGCTTGTCTTCTGGTTCTTTTCGATTGTGGCCATGATTTGGTAATAAGGTTCACACAGTCAATATTATCAGGACAGATACAAACGTCGGTAACACAAGCATATGGGTAGAAGCATGCTTTGGAGCACTCGGTAGGCTTGGGGAAGAAGATGTCACAAGACTGGGAAGACAAGTTATAGGTATAACGATCAGGACAAATACACAGGTTTTGGTAGCACACACTTTGGTTTGAGCAAGGATTAGCCGATGAGAATCCGCAAGGTTGATTAGGGGATGAAGTACCTGGAGTTTAATTGGGAAGGTGTTATTTTCTACAATCATAGGGTTGACAGAATTGAAATTAAAGAAGTAACCTGAGACACAAGTCTGATCAATCGCTTTTTGTCCCTCCGGGCATACACAAATCCGATCGATACAGTGGGTACCGCTGTGGGCGGCATGACATTGCAAATCACTACGGCAACCAACTTGTCCCGGATAGATAACTAGAAGGAGAAGAGAACAGAAGAATAGAGAATAGAGGTTGGCCCAATCACTTACCTTTCTCACACCTTCCTTCAATGTTCACATGGGTAGAAAGGCATTGGCAAGATGGTGGATTGGTATTTCCGTTACAGTAGGCTCCAATCATACAATCTGTGTTGAGAGAGCAACGGACACCGACTCCGGCTTGTTTGCTTCCTCCTGAACGATCAAAATGTTAACTCAGCGATGTTTTTTTGTTCACTTACCAATCTTCAATGGGTTGATCTTGATGGAACTCTTTGGAATCTGTGGTGGAGCTGTGTAGATTTGTTTTGGAATGAATGGAGTTGTTGGCTGAGTGGTCATGTATGTTGGTCTTGGTGGTGCTGTGGTTTGGAAGAACACTGGCTGGGCTGGGGTCTGGATTGGTGGCTGAAACTCGCGGAATTCATTTCAAAGGGCGTTGCGGGGGGAGTTACCTGAGTTTGTTGAACTGGCGGTGGTGGTGGACGAGTCTGTGGGGGCAGAGTTTGAACTGGAACTTGGACTGGTGGGAGGGTTGGTGGTGTCATAATTTTGACTGAAAAAGAAGAGGTTAGTTTTTATATGAAAATGAATTTGAATAATGTTTTTGAACAGTTTTTTTTGACAGACAGGATTATAAAAACCACGCTTTGTATGAATATTGGAAAACTGGATTACAGCATTTCGGAACAATTGCAAATGGAGAAAAGAAACTTGTACAAACCAGGTTGTGTTGTTTGGGCGGAAGACACAGAAATGCATTCTCCGTTATTGAGATCAGTATGAGCTGGGCACACACAAACGGGAATCATCACGTCACAAACGCTTCCTTTTCCACAAATTTCGCCGTTATCGCAAAGTTCGCCAGGTCCTAAAATTGTTAAAAAAGGCATTCCAAAATGCATTCGAAATGTGAATATGAAGATCATTACAATTCTCAGAGATGGACTCACCGACAAACTTTTGTTGTTGACGGAGCACACATTTTCCTTCATGCTGGACAAGTGGAGAAACGCATGTACATCTTCCCATAACACAGGAACTTCCATGGTCGCACTCGGCAAGATCGGAGCAAAGAGCACCGATTCCGACTGGAATAGGTTTTTTTATAAATGAGAAGTTAGTGGAAGGAAATGCACGCGGAAAATTGGATTTGTGGCTCTGGGAAACCGAGTTTTTGAAGTTACTGTATTTTTCAAACAGAAGTCGCCTAAACCTTCAATTTTTAGCTTAATTATCTCGATATTTGTGAGAGACAACCCGAATTGGTCAACTGATGAAATGCTCATCATAATATCCCCAATTATTCATCATCCCCCATTATTTCTCAGTTGACAATATTCGATATCTTTCACAGGAATCGAGATAAATGTTCTCAAATTCAACCGTTTGGATAAGCTTCTATTCGAAAAAATACGTTATAGTCAACATAGTTTTGAAAACTTAAAAAGAACGAAACAGTTCAGAAATAGAAGAACCGAGGAAAAAAAAGAAAAATATAATTTTGAAAATAAGTAAAATAAAAGAGACCCTTTTGAACAGAGATAGTCGAAGCGGCAGGCAAAACACATTCTCCATCACGAGCTTCAAGATCACCAGGACAGAGACAGATGCCAATTGGAAGTGTACAAATTGAACCACCAACACAAATCTCGTTGGACTTACACGAAGCACCAGGAATAGCTAGAAAATTAAGAAGGAAACCAAAAGATACCAAAAAAAAGAGAGAAATCATAGAAAATAGGGGGTGCAAGAGAAAATGGAGTTGGTGTGACTTACCAAGTGTGGCAACTTTTGGTTTGACTTCAGGAACGTTTTGGTTATTGTTGTTATTCATATTATTCATATTATTATTGTTGTTCATGTTTCCTCCTTGGTTCTTGTTGAAATTGAAAACAAACTTTTGATTTGGATTTGGCTGGAATGGGTTGAATTCTGAGGATCCTCCGTTGTTATTGTTATTATTATTGTTCATGTTGTTCATCGGAGCTTGTTTGTTATTGTTCCAGTTGAAATTTGGATTCCAGTTGAAGTCGGAGTTTCCATTATTGTTTCCAAAGTTGTTATTGTTCTGCTGATTGTTTCCAAACTTGAAGTTATTGTTCGGTTGGAAATCTGGAACCTCTGGCTGCTGTGGGAATGGGACGAATCCATTGTTGTTTCTCTGAAAAATCCCAATTTATTAACTTGAGCTGAATCCAGCAACTAACATTTCCTTGGGCGCCATTGAACGAGTTAAAAAATTGCGCTGGCGGTCCGTCAACAGTGGCAGAGACAAATGGCGGTTGCGATGATTCACAAGACAGCGTATCCAGTTTTGGAGTCGTCCCGTATGGACACATGCATCTGAGGGTGTCCAAGTCGCACACAGAACCTCCGATACAAGTTTCTCCGTTTGCACAACTGTTGTTGAGGATGGCTGGAACAATTTTCTTGAATAGAAATGCCTTAGATAGACTACCCACCAATACTCAATGTTTGTTGTTTACGTGCTTTTTTCTTCTGCTCCTTGCATTGTTGGTTGATGAAGTCAAATACCATGTTATTCGGACACAATTTTCGCTCCCAGAAACCAATTGTTCTGAAAAAAAGCCATGAAATCAAATGATCAATTTTTGAAAAACACTCACCCTACACCAACACCCTGACAACTCATGAAAGCACGCTCGTCGCCATCCGGATCCGCTGTGAGCAGTCCATCTAGTTCTTTATTGCATGGAACATTGATTCCCACTTGTTGAGCTACAGTAATCCAATTTTTTGAAATAGAATGAAAAAACACTTACCTATAGTTGTGTGATAGATAACTGAAATAGCGAGAAGAACTCGCATCGTGTATTGGTGAAGCTGATTGTTCCCGCTAGATCTTCTGTCGTTGGCGAGCCTTAATTTTTTTTTAAATGATGAATTTCATAAAGGTCAAAATCAAATGAGTTTAATACGGAAGTGAACACAGAGCACAACTTTGAGAGGGGTGCATGGAATATCAAGTACTATTGAAGTCAATTTACGGTGGTGGGGGGTACTCAACATGTTTACAAATCTCGGTTTGAGGTCTCAAGACTTGTACTTGTGTGGAAATTTAGTGCGGATGGATTCACATTAAAAATAAAGTGCTGGTCAGTTGACTCTCCGAGAATTATGAATCATTTCAGAGGAATATCGAAGAATGTGGTATTGAAATAAAAAATAATGGATAAGATGGTGACAGCAAAAAAGAGTATCCACTGTAGGACTCTAAGATCTACCGAACAAATGTTCAAAGTCCATCTGGACCAAAACCAAATTTGTCTGAACAAGTAACACGAAAGAGCTATGACCACTTCAAAAATCGGTGTCATCATTTGTCCAGTCTCCGCAGACCCCCGAGTGATATCAATAGAGAGGATAAGAGGAATGCGAACAGAAAGAGGTGTTCTTTTTTTCGTCCATCTCCCCGATGGGTTATCGGTTTTTTCTCTAGTCTTCGATTTTAGCACCCAGTGGGGTTGGTCAACTCGGAGGAGACCTGTTGACTCAACGTAGACTCTTTTCCACAATGTCGCTGACCATATACCGGGCGACGACAAAAGTTTGGGAGAAGTGAGATAGAATGAGGGAGGGAGGAGGGTGCGTGATGTTATGACAAGGAGATTCGGGTTGAGTCTCTCTCATTCAATCTGAAGAAATGGGTGGGCTCGGTTTCGTCTCGGGTTTGCTTTTTTGGAAGCCGACAACAAGTGTTGAACTAAAGGATTAGGAACCTATACAGGTGGTTTTTCGAAACGAGGTGTGAATTTCATAGTGCAAGAGCGATTGCTTAGAATAAAAAACAATGGAGTGAACATGACTGCATTCCGAAGAAGGTTCCGGAAACCTTGGAAGGAACAACAACCCTAGAAAAATCACGATGATGACATCAGAGGGATTGGCTTCAAAAAGAACTACTCGAACTAAAATTCGTAGATCAGCACGGGATACGGATGTAAAAACTATATAGTCGTCTCAAAAGATTTGGAACATCCAGTCGGAAGGCTTGTTGAACATCTCAATTACAGGAAAACGAACGCCGACCGGTGGTCAAACAGAGAGCATACAAAACGAGTTACCCGGAGGATTTCTAAAAAGAGAAAGGGGGAAAATAAGGGGAAATCGGTAGGGCATCAAAATGCTCGAGTCGTCTCGAATTTCCAACCGATCGAACACAGGCTGCGAGCCGTTTGTCTACAAAAATTCACGCGTCTAGCATATAAGCTGCTTTTGATGATGACCGCACGCCGCGGTTATATTAATCAGCGATATAATTCGCACACGATTGGAGAGAAAAATTATAATGAGCAAAGAGTGGAGAAAGCTAGAGATGAGGAAAGTTTTTTTTGGGTTTCAAAATACTATGGGGAAAGGAATGAGAGCTGTTGAAACCATTTTACAAGTCTCAAAGCATATAAAATGTAGCCAACTTACTAAAAAGAAAGATAATGTTTAAAAAAATGATGTTAAAATATATCGTTATCTAGCTAGGGCTCACCGAAACCCCTTCTAAAGCCATAAATATAAACACAGGCCGTTTTGGGGGCGAGCACACGGCCACGGCGAGCCACTTCCAAAAAGACTTGTTTGATTGTGTATATACCCGAAATTCTTTATCTTATCCACCTCTTTGCTGACCAGCTCTCGTTGAAAGCCTGCCCTCTCCATCGGAGGTGGAGCTCGGGGAAAGCCTGTATCGGAGGCCGAAAAGCATGAGTACAAAAAATGACTAAATTTAGTGCGCGAGAGAGACAATGTGAATGAGGAAGATCAAGGAGGATATAGATATCGGAGAAATCAACCCGTTACTATATGTTTGTCAGGAGCTGCTTGCTCAAACCTGGAATGATCAAATGATCTTCTGGCAAACATGAAAATGGGATTGGCACGCGTCAAGAAAGGTTATTAAAATCTTATACAAATAAAGACAATGTCCTTATTTTGACATGTGTCAAAAGACAACTGCGCCCTTTTATCCGGGTATGTGGGTGGCAAAAGTGCAGAATGTCTCATTTTGAGATTAACAAGCTCAGTTTCTTTGGAGATTATTTTCAGGGAAAAATCAGGGGCCAAAAATCTGAGAATTGTATACTTTCCATTTTTTATTGCTGTCTACACACATTTTTACGTAACCATCTTTGTGACTGTTATAAATAAATCAATACGCAGTAAATGAATAAATCTGTCAATTTACAACAAAATGCTTCCTGAAAAGAGACTTTAGCGAGAGACTTTCTACTTTCCCACAGACTATATAATATAGATAAGAATTGATTGTTGCTCTTTGTCACAGAACTGGTCAGAACTAGTCCACTCGCGGCGTGGAAAAGTGCTCTTCTAATTTTTTCCCGTCAAAACCATGACACTTGAGATAATCATGTATTTTTCTTTTGGTCATGTTCTCGTTAACATCTTTTTTCATATTCCACCGCCACGACTCTTCCAGTTTTTGCACTGCCCAGGTCAAGCCAAAGTATTAGCGTGATAAGCATACAAGTGGATATGGCGGGAAAGGGGGGAGTAGCCCCTCTCGCCGGCTCGTCACTGAAGAGAGACGAGTAGTGTGCGGAAGATCTGGATGGAGACATATGTTGAATTGTCGTGAGCGCGCAACACTTGTTGCTGAACAGTCCGTGCTCGAGCCTATGCCCTTCTGCAACGGGATAAAGCTGTGTTTCGAAACAAAAACAAGCGCGACTGTCTGAACAAGTCTTCTCCTTCTTCTTCTTTTTCTTCATTTTTCTTCTTGTTAGATTTTGAAGGATGGATTTCGAAAATGAAGTTGACACATAACAAATGACGGAGAAGAAGCAAGTGCGGGTAAGATTTGCACTGAAAATAGAAACGAAACGAACGCACACTTGAGTGGCATAGCTCGGGTTTCAATATTAAACTATTCACAATGTGTTTGGTGGATATACGGACTGACGAATCGTGTAGATCTTATAAGGGAATGGTTTGGTATGCAGCGCCAGGCATAGCCGGAGCAATCTAAAATACCAACTCACGAAGTTTCAGTTTTAAAAAGTGCCAACATTCAAGAAAAGTTTCCAGAAAACTGTATTCATCATATTCATTGTGCCTAGCTTGAGTTACAACAGTTGTCTTTTTTCTTTTTTGTAAAAAAGCAATTTAAACCCGATCACAAATAATGATTTCAAAAACAAACGGAACAACCAAATAAATTAAAAAAATGCTATATCAAATTTTTTCCAAAAATGGAAGAAATATATGTATAAAAATTAGAAAGCTCTCACAAGGCAGTTTTTCCAAAAATTAGCACTTTTCGAGTTTTCGAGAAATTCACATTGAGTCATTTTGTTATGTAGAATTGGGAGGAAATATAGATCGTCATGAAATGGAAAGTGGCTCCGATGGGATTTCAAAAACTGAACTTATCATGAAATCTTCAATTTTAATAGAGAAAAAATTCTATTAAAATGGGAGTCCAAACTAATAGATACGGTAAATTCCGGAATGATTTTCAATATTAGCCGCAGACGAGTTCCAGATCCTCCGTTTTCCCTTTAAACTTTTCAGACTCACTTTTCATATTTTTTTAGATGGTATTTCAGAGTTCTCCGTCAATCACAGATTCATTACAAACAGCAGTGTATAATCAATTTGAAAATATATATTTCAAAACTTTGATATTGAATTGAGTTGACATGTTCGTACATTTTCTAGTCTGACTTCTTCTTCGCAACATATTTTTCCAAATACATGTTTTACAGAATCAATTTAGGTTTTACTCTAAATTAACAAAACGATTCTCATAGTTTTCTGTTTTGGAGTTTTTTTTCCCAAATGATGAATCTTATTAGTTTACTCAAACAGTTTTTCATTAATATGAGAAAAAAGATTTTACATTTTTTGTACGAAATCGTTCATCAATGTTAGTTTTTTCCAAGTTTGCCTAATTTCAAGCATTCCTTGACTATCCTTCTAATTGCGCCAATAATTTTCATTTTGCCTTCCATCTGCAAATAACAAATGGAACGTGTTGTTCGATTCTTTATTTCCGGAACGAGTTGCTGCTTGGCTATGTTCTTCTCTGTTTTATCCTTTGCTCGACCTCTTCCTACCCAGCTCTGACCATGCAATTAATTTGAATATTCAGTCGGTTTTTCCGGGAAGCGAAGACATCGCTGAGTGAGTGACAGGTCTCGACCCCGAAAACTTGACTAATTTTACTTTCTTCTTTTGCTGTGATGTTCTGTGCCTCACCTTCAAGCTCTGGGCACCACTGACTTCTTTTTTTTTTCTTCTTCTCGCTCTCCAACCCCTTCCATCTTCCCTTCCTCATTCATTTTTTTGGGATGGAGCAGCACTCACCACCATCACCAAACCCACCCCAAATACGCCCAATGCTTTCGACTTTTTGACTTCAATCATATATTACCCAAGATTTAGGGGGAAGCACAAGGTTGCGTGTGATAAATTATCAAGAATCTCGTTTCCGGACTGACCACTGCCGAATACTATTTATGGATACGTGTTTTTGGGATAGAATGCAATGTGCATCTGTGTCTTCTTCTTCTGTTTATGTGTTGGGCTGCGGTGCTTCAAAGTTTTTTTTCCACACTACTCGTCCTAACCCGGGGTGGCTCGACCCTTTGCGCGTGCTCCCTAAAACTTCAAGTTCCCGCTAATTGTTCCCCTGAGCATCAGATTCAATTGTGCTCCTCATGCTTATTCACAACATTCTATTCTTTCCACTTCTTCTTCTTCCCTCTTTATTTTTTCCACTCCGTGTTCAAATTTCAATTTTGTTCATAACGTTTTTTCTTCAAGAAAATTTTTCCATTTTTTCTGTTGGGTTGTCCCAAACAGTCAACAAACCGATTAACTTTATTACTTGTATCCATCGGTTCCGAATATGTGGTTTTCCAACCGAACGCTTTTGAAAACACCTTTTTTTGGTTCCAGAGTATGAAGTTGGAACTGGGTATATCTGTGATCCTCTCAATTCTCAATCTCAGTGATGAGCTCCAAGAACCTTGTTTCTTAAAGTGCAAAGACAATTATGTGAGTGCTTTAGAAAATAGAAGATTCTTTTATAATATATTGGAGCAATTTCAACAATTCTAAAATTAGACATTTTTAGATGAATGGAATGCAGTTTGATATGGGAGATTATCACGAGTGGTCAGTGGATATGGTCACACCTATGAACAGTCTTTTGAAGTGAGTTATATATATATATATTGTTTTTGTTGTTATATTCTCATTTGAAATTCATTCATTATATACTTTTTCTTTTTTTCATGAGTTTTCTTTTCACTTTAATTTTTTATTGTTTTTCAGATTTGCACATGGAAAAATGGCACTAAGATTGACGCGAGCTTGCAAGAGAAATGACGAGTATCATAGTTGCTTACAAAAGTGTCCCAATGTTCCAGCAAAGGATATCTTGATCAAGGGGCAAAATGTGTGGATGATTTTGTGTCATGATTTTAGAAACGATACTGGTTAGATATAGCATGACAACAGATTAATCAATCGATTTTTTTTTCAGATTTCCGTGTAAACATTGTGCCATGTTGGTCAGATTACGGCCATCAAATATCTACAAGATGCGAAAACCTCGCCACATTTTTGCAATCCGAGGTTCTCCAGCTCCTTCAAGGTGGTCCCACTGGAATTCAAGAGTCACTGGATAGTTTATGCAAGTAGGCCAAAAAAAAAACTCAAAAGGTTTGCCGTTTTGCATATTCTTATTCCAGAAGCGTTTACGACTACGACAAATGCTTTGTCAATGAGAACTACGACTTTTGTGGGTCTTCAGCGGCTCGGTTCCTTGTAAAACTCAACCATCAAACATCACAGCGAGTTTTTTGAGATTTCCTTCTCGAAAACCAACTTTATTTGTGTTTTTCAGTACAATTTTGGAACTATTGGACCAGACGAATACAATCGGCAAGTTGCCAAAAAGTTGCAAAGATTGGCTAAACCAAAAAGGAATGACTGGGTGGCAGAAAACAAAAACCGTGCAACGAAAATTACGAAATTGTGCGCAACTTCCATTTTTTGCTTTTTCACTGATAGCCGCGTTTTTTGTGAGGACTTGAGTTATTTTTTCACTTTTTGAATTTTTTTATTTTTCGAAACTCAACTTTCAGATTGAACATAACTGTGCTTTCATTGTTTACGTGTATAAATTTATTTATTTTTCTTTAAACTTTTTTTTCAAAAATAAAGTAAGAAATGTCTTGAGTAGCTAGTTTGATTTAAACGATTCGGTATCATGACACAACGGACAGTAGCTGTATTTCATTATTTCGTGCTGGTGGGCGCGGTGTTTGCATCTTGGACATAGCCAGAAGACGTGATCCAGAATCAGTCTTCCTGAAGCGATGCAAACAGGGAACTAAAAATGTTGGTTTCATTATAATGCAAAAATATTACAATACCTTTGTATGGCAATCTGGACACTGTAAATCGTATGGGTCGATTCTTGCTTCACAAGCTGTGCAGGTAATTTTAGCGCCATTTGGATTCACTGGTGGATATCTGAATATTTTCATTGCATCCCACCAAATTTCACTTCCAATTTGTCTTACTCTGAGAATAATCTAAAAGATAAATTCTGCATTTCTGTCCTCTCTTCCTCATCGAACTCTTCAAATGCCTCCAGACGCATCATAGCTTTTGAACAAATTCCAAACTGGTGAACGTTGGCAGCAGCCAATGCTAAAATACTTCAAACTTAAAAAGACGAAAGAAACAAAACTCACCGATCATTGAATAAACTTCAGCGGGGTCAAGAAATTCTTCATAGTCGGATAGTATGACAGATGTCTGAAGTGCATCCTCAATTCGGTCTGAAAGAAGATCGAGAGCATGAAAACACACATTTCCGGTGCTAACTATCAAAAAAGTGTCCCTGTGCGAGCATCATAAAATGAAAAGCCTCTGCTCCTCGCCAAGTGTTCTCCATGATTCTAGATTGTTCTGCAGTTAGTCCAGATTCATCATCTAACGCGTCTTCTAAAATGTTGTGCTTCTGAAATAATTGTTGAATTCATTTACCACCGTTTCAAAAAAACTCACATCAATTTTTTTCAATTCTTTAATTGTCTGCCGATGATTCTCCACTAGAATCGCTCCAAGCACATAGCACTGCTTCAACTCTTCATACGGCACGTACTTGTCTTTTCTGTCGTTTGCAATCTGAATAAAAGAAATTTAGAGAGAAGTCTATGAAAAAATTGAGTGCAGAAACTTGCATCGAACGCAATTTTCGCGGCGTCCAAGTATCTTCCGGCTCGCATGTAGAGAGAAAGTGCGTTGATAGACTTTTCGTCGCTTTCTGGAAACACTTCGAAGTATTCAAAAGTCATCAAGAGATGAAGAAAAATGTATACCTGCTTTCATCTCAACTGCATATCTTCCCAACAATCCTTCAACATTCTCCATGTGGTTTGCATCGGCGATAAATTGTGCTTTGTGCCATTGGTTCAATTGCATACAAGTATTTAGAGCTTTCTTTGGATTATTCTGTCTCAGAAAGCATTCAACAGCTTGGTCACACATACCACGAGTAGTAAATGCGTCTCCAATAATCTGAAATGAGAAAAAAAAACTATCAAATTAAAAAGTATAGAGTGTCTCACCTCCATAAATTCACTGTCATCTTCCAGAGATCTTGCAAGCACCTCAAGTTCTCCGAAGTTATTACCTCTGATCAAACAATCAATATGAAGAGCCATTTCGTTGCACAATGAGAACCATTTTCCAGCTTCGTCCCATTCCATATTTTCGTAGTTATGTCGTCCGATCTCTTTGTACACTTCATGCTGCAACTCCTCGTCAACAGTCTCATCGTGTCTTATCATCTCATAAATTGCGTTATAGTCCCCAAGTTTGCGATACATTTCGATGGCCAAGTCTCTGAAATGACACTATTTTAATTAAACTATAAGGATAATGTTAACTTACTTTCTATCACATTGCATGAAAAGCGCTTTAGCTTCTTCCAACTGATCTCTCCATGCAAAAATTTCGGCGTTTCTTAAATCGTTCGATGGAATCGTTCTAACTTTCTTTACAAATTGCACTCCAGCATAGTCGCCGAGTTTCACAAATGCGTGCTCTGCACAGTCGAATTTATGCTTGAAAACTGCATATGCAGAAATCATGGCCCATAATTCTGCATGAGGACTTCTCTCTGCATAGTCAATAGCTTCATCCAATTTCATCGCATTCAAAAGATTGGTGACTTCCTGTTTGGCTCTAATCATCACTTCTTGTACACAAGACTTCACTGGATTTTCAGGTGTAATAAGCATTCTCTCCAGATTCACAGTGGTCACAACCAAATTTCGGAAACAAACGATACCACCAGTAATTGTTGATTGCTCGAAAATTGAGCTACCATCGCAAATGAACAGTTTATGTTTGTCTTTGAATGCGAGAAGAGCCGGGTCGTTCTGAATTTATTTTCATTAAGAAAAGAAGATTTCCTTGTGAACATACGTGGTCCCAGCTATAATCCCAGACATCTTTCTTCTCGCAGGAATACGTTTTTCTTAGCTCATCACCAGCAAAATCGAATATTATCATGGAGAATGGAGTTTCTGGAACCCATAACATAAAAAAGAGCAATTTTTTTGCAACTCACGCTCCACAAGCTTCACAACTGCGAGTCGTGTATAATCGCAATTTATTTTCATAGAATCCACACTTGCAGAAACCGGATAACTTGTAGTGATAACACCATCCGAGAGGTTTACTCTATAGATGCCACCAGCTTCAAGGGCCTAAAATTCAATGATTTTTTTTTCTCTGTTCATTACATTAATATTCACCATCAAAAAGAACGTGTCGCCAATACAAATTGCACAAATCGTATCACTGCTACCCAACTGAAGAAATAAGTTTTTTGAAAATACAAATTGATTTTACGACCTACCAAACGTTTAGTTCCATACTCAATTGCTCTTTGTTGTTCTTCAAGAAGATACTCGGCTGAAAACACATATTTGACAGTGATAGTTTTTTACTTAGCTTACCAGATTTTCCTGGAATATGAATTCCAGCCTGAACCGTGTTGGTTTTTGGAAGTACAAAATGCCAAATGAAGTAACGATCCTCGCAGGCAATCACTGCACACATTCCGTTGACACATACAAACATCGGCTTCACAGTTGTTACACTGTAGTCTAGTGAAGTGCCAATGTTGTTGCAGAGTTGACAGAAGTACTAAAAAATAAAATCATGGTGTTCCAACAAATAAAAAGTGTACCGTTGGTATTCCTGGTTCCTCCTGACGATTGATTAAAACACAGTGGTCTTTGAAGAATGCCATATGCTCGAAATAGGTGAGAGTTTTGATAGTTCTTTCATCAATCTGTATACAAAATTTTAAGAATGCATATTACTCCAATAACTATCTTACTGCGTAATCATAGAACATGATTCCATACTGATACAACTCTTCCTTTTGATATGCGTAGACAATCGTCTCTTCCATTGCGCCCCACTGAATTATTCGTTTATATAATTTCATAATGAAAGAAATATACGATTTATAAATTTCAGTATGACGTTTGTACTATTTTTGAAATTGCGCTTATCAATTTTTACCTTAAACTCTGGTCGAATATGACCGATGAATAGATTCCCATCAGCAGCAATTGACATTCTGAGGCCAGTAGACTCCCAGGAGATTCCAGTGATTCTAGTTTCAAAGTGTTGGAAAAATCCAACTTTCTAAAAAAATCAAATTAAAACAATTATAATCTGAAAGTGTCTGTTACATGTCCATAAGCAGATAAGAAGTGAATATTCGAATGACGTGGATCGTCTTTATCAGCTTCAGACCCACAAATTGCAATGAACGCTCCGTTGGGTGACCATTTAGCGCCAGTGATGCGCACGTTTGTGAGACGAACAACGATCGGCTCTAAAAATCAAGCATAGAGCAGGTGCGTTAAATTTTTAAATGCTAATAGTAACATAGCAACGTTTTTTCTAGAGAGAGAGTTGAGCAGAACAGCTCATCGCCACTATACAAAAACATTGAAGCCCTTTTTTAATTTTGTCTTTTCAACGTTTTAGAAAGCTAGCCTCGTCAGATCCGTTAAAAACACTTTGGCTACATTAGATTTAGATAGTTCAAAATAAATATGAAACTACATAAAAGTAAGAAGATTATACCTGGATCGGCTAAATTTCTCATCAATTGAATCATTCCTCTTGCATACGCGACCATAAATCGCGGACGATCCGGTGGTACTGGCTGGTAAGGCTCCGGGCTCCGTTCCGGCTCCACATACTCCTTGGCTGGTTTTCTGGGATAATTAGTGAACACATCAGTGCCAGTGACCTCCTTCTCTTTTTCCAATTCTCTTTCCCATTCTCTTTCCAACTCATCCATAATTGCTTTGGATTTTAAAGTTGGACTCCAGTATTTCATGCAAACGATTTCCTCTTTTTGGTTCTCTTCTGGAATTTCAAGCTTAATATTTTTGATATCAAAGCCCCTTACTCTTTGCCAATGCTTGCTCCAAATCCTCGCTTTCCAAACAGTGCATTGTGATATCCAACTTAAAATCATCAGTAAAATATAGAGAAAAATAAGACAACACTCACATAGTGATTTCCATTTTCATCAAACACGCACACTTTTCCTTCTGCAGTGCCAAATATGAGCATGTCGCCATCGGGCGCCCACTGAAAATTGATTAAAATTGTTTTTCTCTACTCTGTCCTCCACTATCTCACTTCACAAGACGCCAAAGTTATCTCCAACTCTTTGTTCCATATGCGGTTGCCCTCCAGTGTGCCAACTATCACATTTCCGTCGGCATATGCTATCGCGATTTTTGTTCCGTCGCAATTCCAGCATATTCCAACGACGACACTTTTATTTCTGGAATATTTCTCATTGTTATCAAACGTTTTAACAATTGGAGCCAACCTATTATTGATCATTTCCTCGACCCATTGCTCATTGAACAATCCCCAAACGATTATAAGACCAGAGGTGTCGCTCGTGGTCAGTTTTTGGTTGTTCTCGTTCCATGTCGCATTCATGACAGTAGCTGAGAAAAAGAGCTTGCCTACTGGTAGAAATTTGATTTTCAAACTTTTGTCTAACTAGTTTACGTTACTTTCGCACAACACTAGTACCCACCATTACCTTGATGCCCTTCCAAGGTCTGATTGACGTTCAACACAGTGTTGCTAGGATGCTGTTTTGGTTCCGTGGCGTCTAAACTTATTTTGACGACTCTCAATGTGCCCAATGCCCCTCCACACGCAATATAATTACTGTTGTGATTCCATTCCGAAAAATGAAGTTGTGCGTTTTCGGGAAGACCCATATTGAACTGAAAAGAAAACAATTTTGAAAAAAGCAGATGAATAAAACATACCTTCCGAAAAACACACATGTACAATTTGGATATCGTCTTTTCATTATAGTTTGCCATTGCATTCAGAAGCAGAGTCATTTTTAACCGACAGAAAACCGGCAACAGCCGATAAACAAAACAGAAAAGGAGATGTGTGGGTGGAAGAGCACTTGCTTAATAAGCGACGCAGTGCGCTGTTGTCATAGTGACGTGAGAGACATTCTTCGGAACAGATGAGAGAGAAGGCGGAAGATGGAGAAATAGAGAAAAAGAGGTAAACCATATGGAGACACATCTAAACAAATTATTGATTCAAAGAGCAGGTGGTTATTTATAAGAACTTTTATTTCGAAAAAAAAAAACAATTGGGAAATGAATGAAACATTTACACATAAGAAAATTTTTTTGAAAGAGTATACAATCAAGAAAATTAACTAAAAATTTATTATAATAAGAAACACTTCTCTCATAACATCTAAAAGTTTTGAATTGAATTTTAAAAAAATGAAAAAGGAAATATGAAATTGGTAGTTTTCCTTTCGATTAACAAAAATATGCGAACAGAAAAATATACTACAAAACTCATCACATTCAAAAACTGTGAAAAAGCACATTGAAAAAAGTAAATTAAGCCAGAAAGTAACAAAATTTGAAAAAAAAACAGTTTTTGTTAAAGGTGGAAAACATTAATAAATTTAATTTCCCTAAAGTTTTGTTTGTATATGCCTCTTTAGGATTGAAAACTGAATAATTGCATACCGGTACTTCAAAAAAAAACAATAGAAAATCAACTCTAAATAAGCTTTTTAAATTGCTTTGTACATTCTAGCAAATATAGTTCAGTTAATTCTAGTAAAAATAGACAATTTTGAATGAAAATCAAATACAGGTTCCTGATCATTTGTAAAGTATCCGTTCAACATCACCACAAGATGAAAGATGGAGTTTCGATTTCAGTCTCTGATAATACAATTTATTTGTTTTTTTATTTGAAAAATATTATCCTCTGTTTGTTAATGAAATGTTTGAGTATTCATTTTCATTTTTTCACAGTGAATCGTCCCAAAATCACAGGTTGAGCTGGAAACACACATGCTCTTCAAAATTCAAAAGTTGGCATAAACAGTTCTAAACTTCATAAATATCATTTTCGCTGAGATTTCATTTAAAACTTCACTAGTCAGTAGAAAAAATGTCTCGAGGTTCGATGCAGAAAAAAAAGAGCCAAATAAATGAAAGACGCTCGGAAAACAAAGAAACGGCATTGAACGAAAAATCCGGTAGCAACAAAAAATGTGGTTCGGCCGTTTTTTTCTTCTCCAAAGTTTTTTTCGCTTTTGTGTCCCGGTCAATGAGTGTTTTTCTGGTTGGTTTTTTACATTAGCAGGGCAGGTTTAAAGAATATAGTGTTCTGTTCCAGGCAAGAAGTTTTTACAAATTTACCAATACTGTGTCGTATGCAGTTGAATCTTTCTCTAACTGTTGTGAAACTATTTCAGAAAATTCATGAATTAGTTTCTCTTCTGGCTTTAACGGAAAAAATGCTAATTGTGCTTTCCAACAAAATACGACGATTTTTTGGGGACGCTTTTAGAATCAATTTTTCGTGTTTTTTATAGTGTATAGGCACCGATAGCTTGGTAGTTCATTTTTCAGGTTTTTAGTTCATCGTTTTCTTTTACGATATTTAAAATTTTCAGATCCAAAGGCATTTATTTCACGTCCTGAAAAATTCATCGTGTTAGAACTAGGTTTTTTTCTGTTTTCGCAATCCTGTCGTTCGAAAAAACAATTAAAATCATTGAATCCACTGGAACCACCTATTTGTCATAATTTTTTCAAATTTCAACAATTCAACGGAAATTCTCATTTTCAATATTTTCAATATGTATGCAATCAAAGCTTAAAATTCTGAATTTTGATTTTGTAGAGCATCGTATTACCAACAGGCTCATCCAATTGTCTCAACGTTTGAGATGAAGCCAATAGCAGGAAATTGGAATCAAGTTCGATGCGATTTTCAAACATAATTAGTTTTTTTGTTCTGTGACATTCTATATTTTCTCCAAACCTAGCAGACGTAATTTGCAGTTTTACTCTTTCATTGTTCTTCCATTCCATTTCCTACTCTCATTCAAACTCATGAACCTTATGTACATTTGGCTCCGAAGCCTTTCGACGCATGTGCCGCAGATGTTGCACTTTTTGTCGGGCGGCGGTAGTTTGCCAAAACACACGTTTCTCCTCAATCGGAAGGATAAATGTACTCAATTTGCTTAAGCTCTTCTGCACCAAAATTTTTTCAAGAGAAAAGAAGATTTAGTGGGAATGGATTGGAACAAAACACATTTGATGCATGTCAGATTAACTCATTTTTCCTAGCATGACCTCGACAACCTAACAAATAACCATAATCTGTTATTTTCTGTATTTCTCATGTTTTAACCACAACTTTTCCGATTCTTCTTCTCCTCCTAATCTGACATCAATTGATAGTCGAGAGCCTTATCCGGCGCTTTCATCTTTCTTGGAAATTTATTTAGCTTTTTAGATATAAATTTTCATTAATCCTCAAAAAATAAAGATTTGTGCAAAGAATCTCGACAATTAATGAGTGTTTAGTGGTTTCTGTTTTTGTTTCTGTGCTTATTACAATTTCTTTTAAATTTCGAAGCCGGGTTAAGTGATAATTTTTTTATGTAGAAGTTGATAAAAGATCAGACTGGGGAAGAAGATACACTTGAAGATTATGTTCTACATCTTCTGGCTTTCCGATGAATCACAACGATAAATCTTTCACATTTTATTTTCAAAGCCTATCAAGGACACCCCTCGATTTCTCAACAAGTGTGAGAAGAATTCTCGTTGCTCCGCTATCAGCGCCTCTATTATCATATCACAAGATCATAGGAAATAAGCCAATTCCGGTTGAGATAGAAATCCCGAAAGTCCGTTTGGCACATACACACAAATTTGTAGTTTTCACTGACTGATGACGTTTATGAGGCAGTGTTGAGTTGAAATTTGAGAAACATCAGATGAACGTACATGACGAAAGTTTTTTGGTTTTTTCATTCTTTGTGTTTCACCAATTTTGTGTTCTTCGCTCCTCTCGACTTGCTAATTGTAGATGAACATGCTATCCTCCAAAAAAAAACCTGAATTCTCTTCACTCTACATAATCAGTGTCTATTCAGTTTTTCGAAATTCTTTGAAAACTCCTTATCTTACATTCAGAAAATAAAGTTTTTTTCCTCCAATCCCAACACTTCCGTAAAAAATTAACGAGTGCTTGTGTGATGTGCGACGTGTGAGAGTGAGATAGAGAGCGAGTGAGGATTAATCTTGCCTGGAATCGATATGGCAACGGCGACACTGGTCTGTTTTTAAAGCATCCTGCCCACTCTTCGGAAATGCCATAACTTCTCATTTGACACATTTTTCCGCATCTCGCAATTTTTTTCTTGGGATTAAAAGCTTCACTGCTGTTTCTTCATTTTTGAATTTTAGACTGAAAAACTGAAAATGATAACTAAAAACTGGGCGTTACCAATCAATGACTACAGTAGTTTCAATCGAGATGAACTGAGATTTTAGTGGTACCTTTAAAACGGACCAAAAAACAAATTCTCATTCCCATTTTTTCTCCTCCCACTTTTTTCTATTTTTTTCTTCATTTTCCCATTTTCTTCCTTCACATTGTCTTCCCATACGCTACTTGGCTTTGTAAAAAAAAGACAACACAAAACAACAAAAAACAAATTGAAATCCCAGAATGACTTCACCACCGAGCTCACCGTCTCATTTGCATGTTCGAAAGTTGAGCACGACGAATGAGGATGAAGCGAAAACGACTACGGCTTGCCCGCGAAAACCCGGTCGAAAGGTATTGCTATTTGTCTTGAGGTTTTTGTAAGTGAATTTGTTTTGTGGAAAAGGTGTGGTTTGGAATATATGACGTCGTACTTACACCATATTCGTATTCTTTCTTTTTTCTTCAATATCTTCTATTCTTTTCTATACCGATATAATCCTTTTTCGTGGTCTTCGTTGATATCAACCAAGTTCTGACAATGTGCACTTTCTGAGGCGACAAGGATTTGCTCCGAGACTGAAAACATAATGCTTCATTCGATTATAAAATTCAAATCCAGACTGGAACGCTGGCAAAGCTCTGCTACGAAGTTCTAGGAATTCTTGATAAGCTTTTTTCAGTTTCGAAGGATTTTGTATTTGTTTTGAGAATGTTGTTACATCTTTGGTCATGCAATTGTTTGTGAAATCAGTAATTTGTATTTAGCATATTGCACTGTTGTGCTGTGTATGTTATCCATCAAAACAAACATCACACCTTTGTTCCTTCTTTTATTCTCAATATTGCAGTTTTTCCTTTTATTTCACTTGCTACAGTAACCCAAAGTTTTCAGCTCGTCGCTCTCTCTGGCGAAGAAGATATTATGAGTGGAGGACCACCACCTGTTCAACAACCTAAACGTTTTCGTAATGGTCACGCTTCGTTCCGTCTTCGGATGCTCCAAGAGCAACATGGTCCGGCTGGAGGACCTCCTGCTGCACAGTCAGGTTCGGGATTTGAGCCGGTGAGTTATTAACAAATTGGGTGAAAATACGATTTATGATATAATCGTGAAATTTTTTATTATTCTATTTTGAAACCGTTTTTTCGAATTATTTTTTGAGTTTTAATATATTCAATCGTTTTCCTTGTTTTCTCATTTATATTACACATGTTTTTCCTACTGACCATTACTACAATTGTATCGCACTTGTTCGCACATTAATTTGTGTTCAGGACCACATTATATTGTTGTCGGCAAACTACTACTGGAATTTCAAAATTCTATTCTTTTCTCGTTCTCATTAATGAGTACAAACACACGGTCCTGGGACTCCAGTTGGTTTATTGCTCAAAATAGGAAGCTTTCTTTGTATCGGTGTTTTTTCTTGTATTATTTATTCTTTCACAAAACACACATTCATTTGTCTTCGATTTTGACGACGTCTTCAACTAGACATATTGTGTACAAATTTCGTAGAAATTTGTGACTTTGGGATGAAATTCAACGTCGTTTTCGCGATGTGAATCGAAGTATGATCCTTATCACGCGTAGTTGTCGTCGGCAACGGATTAACACATTCTATTGGCGAGTGAGACGAGAGTGCGGCTCGTGTGTGTGTGCTTCTTGTTGTATCAAATCTGGATTATCACCCCATGAATCCGAAAGAAGAGAATGGCAGAAGAAGAGAGAGGGATAGATATATATGGCATAGTGGCGGCATTAGCAGAAATGGATTGCTAGAGACCGATAATCTTCGCCATGCGCGGCATAGTTCATTTTTCTTATTTCTAGGAAGACTATGGTGTCTTAGACTACAATTATTGATTTGTGTAGTCATAAGTTTAATAGCACTTAGTTTCATTCCTTTTTCCTATGTATATTACGCATAATTTCCGATTGTGTAGGGCTGATAATATAATTCCCTTCTCTATAGAAATTTCTAGAATTCATTTCCTCCCCATAATCTCTTTTGTAGTTTTTTCTCCAAACGCGCTTCCGATTTATAGCGGATATCACCCGACCGCCGCCACCAACAGCTCACTAAATTCAAGTCCAGTTTTGTTTGCGATCGTATTGCACTAGTCCAATTGTAATCCAACCAAATCCAGGGGAGAAGAGGAGCCTATTCGGAAATCTTCCCTCTGCCTCATACTCTCCTTTTCGAAATCTTCATATTTGTCTGTTTTCACCCCTTTATCTCTATACTCAAATTTTCGATTCAACCAGACGTTTCATAAAAAATGTCATGGACAGCAGCAGGAGACAGCTCTTCATGGGTGTCTTCCAAAATAAAGGTACGCGACTCTTGAATGATCTCCTAATTTCGAGACATTCAGGCGGAAAAGCATAAGCTCAAACCTCAATCTGTTCCTACATCGCCAGCGGCTTCCGGACGAGGAGAATCAACGTTATCACCACTTGATTCGGCACTCCAAGGGTTGGTAGTTTATCATGTGCCTGCTACTAAAACATTCTTTGGAAACGCCGAGAAGCCTTAAAAAAGATTTTCGAATCGAGATTCGTGCCCCGGCATAGTTTCATTTAGCTAATTTGTTTTGCAAATCATTTGAATCTTCTACATTTAGACTAAGAATGAAAAAGCCGTCTACGTCAAAAAGTTCATCGCCACCTGGAACACCAGTTTCCAAAGACCATCGAGACTCGTTTAGAGACTCTTTCAAAAAAACTCTATTCCGGTAAGGTTACAATTTTATCAATTTGGTATTTTTCGATTATCAACATGTCAGCTCGTTCAGTACAAGTTCGGATAAACGGAAACCAACAACTTCAGCAGCGGGAGACATTGAACTAGGACACGGCAGCCATGAGCACGCAGAGAATCCGGCGATTCGAGCAGTTCGACAGTTTAAATCGGCGCATGAATCCTTCCGTCTCCGCATGTTCCAGGAGCAGCACGGATTTGAGCCGGTAGTATGTGCCTGATGCAGATCTGTCCTATCTATAAAATAATACTTCTCCACTAACGGATTTGACTTAAAAATCCTTTTCCCTTTTCGATAACCACCTCAACTCACCTTTCTCAAATTTTATTGTCCGTTTGGTGGTACACAGTTACAGTAGCACTTTTAGCACTTTCAAAACATATAAATCATTTCAAATTGCATTAAGTTTCACAAACCCAAATATACTCTGTTCATGTTACAATGGAATAACTTGTGATCTCTGGAATAGTTCTAACTTTGCATTTTTCAGGTTTTCATGACCAAGAAGCGGACCCGTGACAACAAATCGGTCATGAGCGAGTTCAAGGGGGGCGATTTGAACAAGTACACCGCGAAGACTTATGCCATTCAAAATGGAAACGAGGTTTTTGGAGGTTAGTTCTGGTTGTGGGCAACGGTAGAAATTATCAGTGTGAAGGTATTGATCAGAACACAGAAAATGTGAACGTGCAGGTTTAATATTAGTTCAGGAGCAATTGAGCATAAATAATATGAAGGAAATAGTTTTTGAAGGAAGTGTTTTACCACACTGGGAAATAAAGATTTGAACTTTTGATTTTTCATACCCAGGTATAGTTTTTTATCGTAATTTCTTATCTTAATTTCTAAAAGAGGTATTGAAAATCTGTCAATTGATGAAATGTCATAATATCATCAAAATTATATCAGTTTACAGATTTTTAGTACCTCTTATAGAAATTAAGATAATTGATCTCAAAGCGCAGGTGGCCTTCGATTAGAGAGTTTACGGTATTTGTTTTGCCAAACTTCAAGAATCATTGAGATTGCTCAGTGGAGAAATAAAAAAAACACACGTTGCATTTGGAAGAAAAACAATTTTGTGGTCTGGATTTTATGATTTTCACGGGGGATATAAAAAGAAAAACACTTTGTAACATTCTTTTTGCTTCGAGAATACACTGGAAACTGGAACATTATGCTTTGAAACTTCAAGAATCCCTCACAGGTTTTTAAAAAATTCACTCAATCCGCCTGATGTTTCATATTTTCATTAATTTGTTCTACTTGGTTTCTCATTTATCATCTAGAATTCTTATTGTCATCCGCACGTCATTGGCCAATAGATGGACACCAACCGCCACCACCTTCGCTTCGTTTTTCTTCATTGTATCTGCTAACTTCCGTATGCAATTCATTGAATGAATAATTCAAAAAGGACCAATCGGATTTTTATGCCTCATGTGAAGATAGTTGGGATTTTTGTCTTGACAATGTATGAAAAGACGACAAATGGAGAAAATATTGAGAAATCTGATAGTGTCGGAACGGAAATGTTGTCTTCCGCAGGAGAGACTTCTAAGGTCCACCGCTTGTTTGCATTTGTTTCCTAGTTTTATTGAATTTGCTTTCTTCAGAAATTCATTCCTTAATTTTTTTAGTTTCTTGATTCCTCATGTTAAATCCTCATGCCAGTCATTGCTCATCTTTGCACTTTTTTTTCTATTCTTAAACGAACTTTATCCTCTTTGTTCTCAAGAATATCTTACATTGATGGATATGCCAACTAGAGATGACAACTCCATGTCAAAAATCGGGGTCACGAAACCCAAGGAGCAGCCAAAAAAAAATTCTCCAAAAAATTTGTTGTCATTTTTTGATGATTTCGGGGTCAAAAAAGTGTGAGTCGAGGAGGAGCAAGCGACGCCCGATGATTGAATTTGTGGTGTTTCTAGTGTCTGTGTGTGAAGAGTCCTGTTGAAACTGAATCAGGGGGGGGGGGGGTTGGAGAAAATTTTGGAAGGGGTCACACATCCCTCCGAAAAATGTTTCCATTTCCATGTTATGGATTGACTTCTCCTCGTCACATTTTTCCTCACAATTCCATTTTTCCATAGATCCTTCATAACCCAATTGTACCTTGTTATGGGGTTGAGGGGCGTTCATATCTTCTAGAACTTACGAGCCGTCAGTCAGTCGTCTGCAGTCAGCAACCAAAGTCAATCAACCAAAGAACCCCCCTTTGCTGTCCAAATATCCTTCTTAAGTCTCATTTTTTCCTCCCATTTTCATAATGATTCTTTTCTTAAGAGGCCCTGACACTTTCTTCACTTTCTCCGAACTGAGGTGTCTACCACCCACCACCCTGTGCTAAGAAAATAGCAGGAAATAGATAAGTGAGCACCAATGACCATTTGGTGCTCAAGAAAAAGGTGTGTAGCACTTGTGGGAAAATTTGTCTTCGAAAACCCTCAAATTAGGATTTAGTGATATACTAGCATACGAATTATCTTATAACTTTTCAAGTTTTCGAAGAATGTTCAATTTTTTAAGTTTAGAATCATCATCAGTGCTCGATGCTCACTTGAATGAATTTTATAAAAACTCATCCTACCTATCTAATTAGCCTCTTTAAGAGCAAGTAAGTTAACAAATTGGCCTTACAATGTAAATCACAACTATGCGTAAAATGTCAAAATGATGGTTAGGATTCTTGCTCTAGAACAAGAATAACCGAGTGTTCATCCTCCACTTTGAACTGCCGAAGCGTAAAGGATTTGATCGTTGTCTCTGGGTTGGACCTTCTCTCGCTCTCATCCTTCCACCCATTCTGTCCTTTTTTGGAGTATTCATCTGTTTTTTTTTATTCGAGACTGGGTTGTTTAGTTTTTTCTCTATATTTTTATTTTTTGAATTTTTCTAACACCGGTGTGGTCCAAAATTTTGAGAGGATGCTTCTTTCTTCTTTTTACTTTCCTACTTTGCTTTCTTCGCTACCAGAAAAAGCATAAGTGAATTAAGTCAGTGTACAGATTCGATTACTTTCCTTTCTACCACCCCTCCGCACTCACTTCCATTTCCACTACGCTCATTTCTACAAACCAAACACAAATCCACTTCATTTTTCCTCTCAGTCCACCACACTATCAACACCAACTTTTGCAATTTGTTCACCCTGGGTCCAGTGGGCAGCATCATCGCACATGGAACATGGCTGATTCGGCCAGCTACTTACCCTCTCATAATCTTTGTTTCTTGTTTTCCGTTTCCTTCTTTTTTTTGGAGCGCCAACAATATTTGGTTTTCAACATGCGCTTCGGTTTTTCCTGATATGAAAGAGGATTTAGGAGCGGGTGCTTCGGAGCGCCACCCAAAATGGAAAATAATGTATTTCTGCTTCAGAGACATTTGATAAAAAAATTTAGTTCCCTTTTAGAAGCTTATTGAAAACTTATCCTAACGTTTAGATCCCTTTCCGAGTTGTTTCTTGTTCCAGTTTCAAAAAATACAAATCGAAGAAAAACAATAATACCATTGGAAATATTTTTAAGCCCAAAAAATTTACTTAGTAAGCAAATTTTGTTTTCAAAGTTTTTTTCCCTAATCACCCAGTAGCTGGAAATTCAGAAACTTTGTTAATTTTTTTCAGAACAAAGTAAAACCATTCTGCTAAAATCCTTGAACACTGAAACTTCTTTTGGGTACTCTTTTTCTTTTTGAACTGCTTTTTTAGGGTCAAAATAGTTGTTTTGGGCCTTTCCGAAAAAAAACCTAAACAAGGTTATCTTCTCAGAATAGCATTATTTTTTGCTCCTGACCTTCCGAGCTTTGGAATTTTTTTCCGAAAACCTTTTACGTTTTAAAAAAATCTATACACTTTCTTTTTTTCCCAAAACATTCCAATTTCATCGTCCCATCATCTTCCCATCTATCTGATGTGCCAGATTTTGAGACCTCAAAAGGTGACTTGACTATTTTTCATATGCCATCCTCTCCTCCCCAAATAGGGCATCCTGCTCATAAATATGTAGATTTTCTTCTTTTCCGGTGGAAGGAGACCGGAGAAAAAGCAGATGGAATTCAGTAGAGCACGATGAACTGTGATTCTTTCCGTGGCGTCCCCCAACAGTGTCTCAAACATATGTTTTGCGTGTTCCGGAAAACGAGACAACGACACCATGTGTTTCAAGACTCATCAGAAGAAAATACTCTTTTCAAAATGCGCTGATTTATGTCGAATTAGTTTTGTTTTGTTTTGTTTCTAAGCCGGTGCAATGTCAGTCTCTGTTTTTCCTTACGCGTTCCCAGTAACAAAAAAGGCTACTTGATGATGTTTTTTCTGGAAGCGCTTCACTTATCGTAATTTTTTGGAGAGGAAGAGTAGCAAAAGAATCTCACGAGCTCATGATTTATTCAATCAGTACCACACTTCTCTTTTGCTTTTGAGATGTAGACGAAAAAATAAGGAAACATGATAAGAAACCGCATCCCACTAAATTATTTTCTTTCCTCTTTTCTCATCAGTGCGGAGCAATTTGTCACAGCATTCACGGAACACTTTCAAGTATCCGTAACCATTTGAAATAATTAATGTCGGAGAAGATCATATTTCCGGATAGCGTCTTCGGAGGCGGTAGCCCCTCCGAGCCGTGTGTATAAGTGTTGTGTGTAAAGTGGAGAAGCACTTCTTCATCCCTTACTCATTTTTATCAGGTTAACTCATCAAACATTTTTCGGTGCATCGGAAGGATGTGAAGAGGACGGACGCTACTCACTTTTCCCTAGATTTAGCACATCGAATCGTAGTGTGTTCATATGTTAGAGGGATCTTCTTTTCACTATGCTGATCCAGTTATCTTTTTTTTTCCACTGACTGTGAAACGAGTCGTCTTGGTGTAAATGCTATTATCAACACAAAACGCACAAATTTCTTCGAGTGATTTTTGTTTTGCCTATTTTTTTTCAAGATAGACCAAAAAAAGTTAGCAGTTTCTTAGAAATATAATTTTAACACTCCGAATCTTAGAATTCAGCGAAATTTGAATTTTACGAGTTAGATCAAAAATTTCGTCGTATACCTTTTGTGCCACGCTGAGAAAACTGTAAAACCTGTATTAGAAGGGTCCCCAAGCTGTCAAGTTTGAGCTAATTTTTCTCGGTTCCTTTGCAAGATATCTGAAATCTGTTAAAAAACAAAAAACTCATGGTTCAATGATAAACAGTTTATCAGCTGACAACTGTTTGATAAGAACCTTATCACATATTCTTATCCCAACATATGAGAAATTTCAAATAAAAATAATCTTGAAATTGGCATAGAAACCGAGTTTTCCCACCGTCAAAGTTTTGATAGAAGATACCTATACTTGCATTTTGAGTTTAATTATCTCAATTCTCAGATGTCAAAAAATGTGTCGACTGATAAAAATTATTTTTTATTTGAATAATTTATCAATTGTCAAATTTTTGATATTTTTGACAGAAACTGAAAAACGTTGGTTCGAAACTAACAGTTAGGGAGGTCCTCCTATTACGGTTTTTACGGCTATTTTCTTTTTTTTTCAATTGTTCTTATAGAAATACTTTGAAAATAGTCGAATAGTCTAATTACCGATTCTTGTCTTTCAATCATACTTGTGGAAAAGATGGCCGGCCCGCGGTCCGGGCCGGGCTGAGATATTTCTGAAAGCGTGCCGGGCCGGGCCGGAGAAAATTACCCATGGCCGGCCCGATTTTTGAAAATTTTGAAATCTTAGAGCGAATCATGATTTTTCAAAATGGTTTTTCTTCTTAGTGAATGAACATCCACACTAGAGGCCGATACTGTCAACATAAACTGTTTTGAAGTCGTAATTAGAAAAAAAAGTTTCATCTTTGGCTTAATGAAGTTTGATTTTTTCTTTTGCTAAAAATTCAATTAAATTGACTTTTTCGGATGTTTGTATGCATTTAGATCAATATTTGTGCCATTATAAATATTTTGGCACATTCGAAAAATAACAATTTCGAAAAGTTGTCCTAGGCGGGCCGGGCCGAAAGTTTTGAGGCAAGCGGGCCGGCCCGTCCATCCACATGTATGCTTTCAATACACTATTGAAAATCTTTCAAAACAATTCAACTCTAGACAATCGTTCATTCATGAACTTTTTCTCAAAATTAAAAACAGCAAAAAAAAACAATAGAGAGAAAAAATTAACCTATACCTGCCATAGATTTTGCTCGAAATCTCACCTCTTCAAATCCTTCTCCAAAGGAATTTTTTTGCCATCCACTTAGAAAAAGTTAGTCCACACTCGAATTGCTCTCTTACTCCATGATGTGTCCTTATTTTTGCCCGCAGTGGATGAGGGTGTCGAGTTTTGTCATAGAGTGGAAGACAAGCCGACTCGAGGGTCTGTGACTGAATGACAAGAATGTTTCCTTTTTTGCCGATGCTCCTTTTCTCTTTCTCCTTTTTTCGACGACGTGATAGTGTGGTACACTGACTGTGGAGCCCTTGAGCCCTGAGCCTCTTCACGACCGGAGAGGGCCGCTCCCCGGGGACGATCCGGAAATAAGCGCAAGCAATGTGTCAATTCTTTTCTTTTATGCCTTACCACAAAAAGTCTTGGACTCCTCATCTCGGTTCGATTCTCACCACACGTCTTAATATTCTAACTGTCATCGTCTGATTCCTCACCATGAGGCAGCTGATAGAACCAAATGCTGCGGCTTCACGAAGACCGTCAACATTTGATCCGGAGGTGTTGGCTCATCACAACTCACCTCCACACTGGGCGCCAAGTAGTAGTGTACCCGGGGAACAGACGACATCAACTACAACCGGTACAAGAACCTCTTTCTCGGGACCATCTCCATTCTCTTCCCTGTGTCTTTCCGTACTAGCAGCCACTCCCCAACCCAGGATGGTATGTTTATATTCGTTAATTCTGCTTTGTGCCTTTGTGTCCATTTTATGGTCTCTCTTCCTTTCAAACTTTACTCTTTTGTTCCTTGATTCGCCATTTCCGTTCTTTCCAAATTTCTTGAAAAACTATAACTATACACATATCAGATCAATGCGAGAATTGCGATGACAGTAGACGCTCCAAGTATTCGAACAGAGAATATCCGATATTTTCCGAAAAAGGGAAAAGCTCCCAAAAAACGTAAGTCGTTTCGATACTATGTTCAATTAAAGAAATCCAGAAAAAAAGAAAAATCAGAAAAAGAAATCCCGGTTGTCTTGGTTCAAATCTCAAATGGTTTAATTTTTCACCGGCGAGTGGAAACCATTAATCAGCCCCGCGTTTGGGAAGTGAGTGCTTTGGTAGAGCAAGGAGTGAAAAATGGGATTCATGGCGAGAAGTAGGTTTTGTGTTCACAAGAGTTAAAGCTGGAAAACAAACATTCAGAAAACAATGAAAACCTGAAAAGGAAACGGCAAGAAGGAGGATAATAATAGTCTTCTCTTGAAAATGTATAACTCAATTGCTCACTCAACCTTTTCCGAAATTCACGTCATATGTTGGGATGAGAATCCGTGATGGGACTCTTCTTTTCGTGTGTTTTGTTTTTTTATTCCTAACTCACACTTCCATTTTTATTTTTACTTTGTTCTTATTTTTGTTGTTTTTGACGCGTGCGCGTACTTGTTATGCAAGAAGACGATATTGACAAGCGATCAAAAAATGGACGACTAGTGCGAAATGGGAATAAATTTTGAAAATGGGAAGCAATTTGAAACTTTTAATTTGTTTCCATGGGACCGGAATATATTTTTCTTTCATTCGGGAAAATTATACCGTATCTATAAAATATAACTCCACTTCATCCAAAATATTCAATCCACTTTATTTTCGATGAATTGTCAACTGCTGTCACACCTCATTTGGTAAATAGAAAATTGCTAATGTAAGTTTGTCAAAAACGAAATAAGGTTAAATTCTGTAATAGAAGAGCTCTCCGCCCGTTCAAAGTTCAAAAAATAACAAAATTTTGTTGACTAGCAAATTGTTTGTCATAATATCACAAATTATTTATTAATTGACACGTTTTTTATATCTTTCGTAGGAGCGGAGATAACTCAGCTCAAAACTGAGATTGTGGGGTCTCTTCTAATACAGGTCTTACATTATTTCAGAATGTACCATTAGCTCCAGAAAATACAAAATTAACAGCAGTATTTGATAATAAAGAGAAATTGATCTTTTCAAGCTCTGAAATTAACCAAAAAGTATTTTCGAACGTTTTTTCTCATTCAAACTGTTCTCAGAAAATGAGCGATTTCTGATGGTTCCATAATTAATTCCGCAGCTTTAGAACGTTTGCCATCATTATGTTTTTTTTCCAACAATGCCACATGTTCCAAGTAAAATGTCACTTTAAAAAAACAAGGTTATTTTTCCAACAATCAAGAATTAAGAATTCACTGCTCCTTTGAACTTTTAGAATATGCACCTAGAAAAACCTGAATAGATTTTTTCACCTGGAAAAAGTCGGGAAAAAAGCTACCTCTACATTTTTCAACAAAAAAAAAAAATTCCTAGTCAACAAGTTGTAACAAGAGCCCGTTTATCTTATTGATGGAATAATTGGAATGTAGTAGTCGGTTCCATTCCAACAAAAAGCGGATTCCCGTACTTTTCTTCTTTTTTGGAAAAGTACCCGTTCTTTTTGAAACATCAATCTCCTCTAGGAAAACTCTTCAGAAGTCTCCTGATTTTTTTTTCTTGCTTAGTTCCACTTTTTCATTGCAGCAAGGATTCCTTGCATTCCTTCTTTTGAGAGCTGTGAATTATTGCCTCTTTTTTTGGCAGTTTATTGTTTTACCACGGGACACTGTTCATTCTTCCTTTTGCAAGGGCATAAGTCATTATCTTAAAACTCCCTATCGATCAGTATTTAGTTCCAGGAACAATGTTAGCGTTTTTTCCCTCAAAAATTATTCCTCAAAATTTTTTCGACTTATTAATAAGAAAAACATGCCAATTCCATTCACTGAAAATTTTTTGTTGCTCTTCTTTTTTGGAGCCCTTCTAATATTTTCTCAAAGTTTATAATAGGTCCTCTTCGCTCTCCACAAACTAATTCCTTGGGTCCACAAAGTCGCCCAGATTGGAAATGAGACGAAGAATCATCACATGTTTCATTGTTTCTTTTTCGAAAAGAATTTTGAGAAAGTTGCAACTTCTTTTTTGGCCTAAATCAGCGTCATTTGAAAGAATTACTGTTGTAGAAAATAAGAAAATATTTACCCGGATTTGAATTTTTCCAGACTTGGAAATTGTTTTTTCCTTTTATTTTTATTTTTGTGTCTTTTGTCTTATCGCCCCAAGTATTTGAAACGATTTTGAGAAGAAGAAGAAGAAGACACTTCTCTTTAGCTACACTCAATCCTTGATTTTCATTTTGGTAATTTAATTCTTTTGGAAGTTGGAAATATTTCACCCTCAATTTATCCGAATTTCCGGTATGGAGAACTATTCCAAGTGCCTTTTGCTTTGCTAAATTTTGAACCTGACTGTTGCCTCTTCTAACTTTTTGCATATTTTCTCCCTTCCTTCGTTGTTTTTTTTTGAGAACAGAAAACATAGCGATTTGAGACGGGTGAGTTAGAGACATTTGAGATCCTGAAATAAGCAAAAAATGGGTCCGATTTCCATTCGAAATGCGTTTTTCCTGTGTGTTACACTAAACCAGAAATGTATATGTGTTTGATCTGGAGGACGAAGATTCAAAATGGGAACATTTCGACATCAGAAAAAGCAATTCAAAAACAAAGAAGCACCCTCATTTTGATATAATGGTTCCCCTTTTTTCCTGGATGCTCCTTTTTCTTTTTTTCCCGGGGTACCTACAATTGCTAACAACAAATTTCAAAAGAGAAAGTTTTTTCTTCGAGAATTTTCAATCAGTTCACATAAATTTGAAACTATTCAATCCACCATGTCATGTGCGTTGTGGTGATGAGAATTTCTAATTTCAGTGAGAACATTTGCGAGAAATACTTCTTTCGTTTTCTTCTCTGCAATATAAAATGAGAGTAGTTCGTAGGGTTGGTGCTCTAGATAACATAGGGGAAGTGGACTCAAAAAGGTCCATTTTGTTGATTAGAATGTGCAGTATCAACCGGTAGTAGTGGAGAGAAGAAGTGCACAATTCGGAAACCGGAACCAAAGAGAGGACAGGTGGATTAAGGAAATGAGAAAAAGTTTTGAAGCTTGGATCTTTTCCATTTGAAAATTTTCAAAAATCTGAGCTATTTTCTCAATTTCCCAGATTTCTTAAAAATTTGCAATTCAGATCTACTCAGTAGCTGTCACTAAAAAGATCAGACCATCTGCCACCAGTGGTACGGAATATGGCGAAATATGGCGAAATATGCAATTCTGTCACTTATAGGATTAGGATTATAAGAATAACAACAAGCCTGTTATTATCTTATAAATCACAAAACCTTGTTTTCTTTTGTTTTTCTCTGTTTTCAAAAAAAAAACAAAAAGGGTCAAAGAGAAAATGATCGAAAAGTTGAGATTTTTCCGTTCAGATTTGAAAAAAATATGATGTTCAATGAAGTTCCTTCGAATCCCGTTCTGCGCTAGAAGTGAGAAATGCCGCCGCGGCAGAAAATTCAACAAGTTAATTAATTAGTCGGAGTGAGAGGCCCTATGTCCCTCTAGTCAGTCAACTGCCCCGAAAAACAGCTTCCTATACATCCGTTCTTGTCTTTTTGCGGCAAAAGCGCCAATTGCTTTCGGGGTGCGAATTGAGCCATTAGCCGATTCGGCTCCACCCCTCAGCGCTAAGAAACGTGTGCTCGCGCGAGAGTGTCGCACAGCGCAGGGCGGAGAGGCCTCAATAACTCATCTTTAGACACCTTCTGTTCAACAACTCCCACCCCACGCAGAGAGTATTGCACATCCTAGGATATTCATACATCGTACTGTATTCTAATATTATCTATATTTTTCTATCATCATCAATCTTTTCCTTTTCTACTTGTACCTTCTTCTAATCCTATATAATTATGGAGTCGAATCTTGACGTTGGGAGTTGTCTGCTCGACGAGTGTTCCAGTGCCGGATCCTTCCGAAAACTTTCGGCACTATCCGCAACATCAAGTCTACACGCGCCCTCAGAATCATCGATGAGTCGAAAACGAAGTATTAGAGAACGTATGGCCGAGCTGGCTGATAGTAGGAGAAATCCCAAAAAGCCAACACCACCAAGCATATTTGAAGCAGCACAGTTGATTGGCAAATTTTCAGGCCAACGCATAGATTTATTATCAGGTTAGTCAATTTTCTTATTTTATTACTCTTTCTCTTTTTTGATCCAATACACTATCCTAACCAGATGTTTTTTAAGACGGCAATAACATATCAAGTTTATTATGTGTTGATTAGCTTGGTGGCCACTCTGAAGCCACACAAAAATCTGTAGCTCTTCTTTTTAGTCTCGAGCACTAGTGAGCCGCTGTAGTGAAAAGAATCTAAGCATCTACAAAAAACAAGTCTAACCGATAATCATTGCTATTTTTTCGAAACCATTAATTTGGTACGGTGCCCTCAATTAGTTGTCAAAAATTGTGACTGAACTTACCTAACTCACAACTGGGAAAATTAATTCTCATCATCTTTTGTACCCATGCCGTCACCAGCATCCGTAATAGAACTTTCTTTTTTTAACAAGAAGAAAAAAGAAAAACGACGGCACAAAAAAAGGGTACGCTTCCTTTCCGCTGTCAAGAAAAAAGTCTGTTTTATTCATCAAATCCGTCGAGGAGTTACTTTTCTCGTCTATTTTTCCTGCTTTCCTTGAGATGTGATAGCGTGATGGGATAACAATTTCAAGACGTTGTAGCAGTGCCCTTTTAGGAGAAAGATCTGTGTTGCTTACTCTGCAGAAGACGGGGAAAGGATGAGAAGATGGGAATAAGTTAATGAGGCTAGGAAGAAGCAACTCAAGAGGATAAGGGTACTTTCTTTCTGTGTTGTGAAAAATCCAGAAGAAGTTCACATGGAAAAACATTCTGCAAAACGTCATTATCCATTTCCTCTTCAGTCATTTGAAAATAGTACATATTTTATTTTTCAAACTTCTTCCAACTTTTCCTGAGCTCTCCCGCAAGGTTGATTCAATTGGTGTACATCCTTTTTTCCATAACGCACAACTAACACATGAAACACATCCTTCACGCGTTATGTGTTTTTGCAACTCGCGCCCCGTAAGTTTTCATCCTTCGCACACCTTCTCTTTCCATGCGTTTTCCAACCGGAACGGCCCGTTTCCGCACTCTCAGGTAGCAAAAACAAGAGCACGTTGGGATGTTTACCACAAGGAAGAAAAAAAAATAGAAAGAGTAGCATAAGCTGAAGATGAGTTCAAAGGAATTGCTCAGTTGATTTTCAAGAATCGCAAGGGAAAAATTAGCTCGGGTTTCGTTAAATCCCACTTGGCACTTCTTCCTCTCCGTTTTCCTTCGAAAGTTATTCTGGAGACAAAGGCGTGGGAAACACAAAAACAATACAACAAAGTAGGAAGTCTTAGAGAGTGGAAATGAGAGAGTACAATTGATGAAAGTTCAATGAATCGAAAGAGACAGGGAGAATGTTTCAAAACAACTCGCTTGATGTCTACTGGTGAGCAAGAAGGCAATTGTTATAGAATCATGAAGACACGTCATTGTCATTTGATGAGGAACAGAAAGACTGAAGCTGAAAAAATAGCAAAAGTTATAGTCACTAAACGCTACAAATTTTTATATTGCACAAAACCACGTTTGTATGAAAACGCGCTGAAAAAATGAGACAAATTTAAAACATATATTGAGATTCAACATTTAGATAAAAACTCAAAATTGTGTCTAGCAAAAATTTTATCTAGACTCTAAATTCACTACCGATCATAATTGTCGCGGCCCGGGCTTTTTTCCAAATTTCCAAAAATATGACAACTACACAAATATTGGTGATATTATGATGAATAATTTATCAATTCAAAATTTGAAGATACCTTTCAAAAAAACCGGGATCATTGAGCTGAAAGTGTACGTAAAGGGTGGGTTTCCACTTGAGCAAATACGGTACATTAACCATCATGATGATCTATGAACAAACCGCAAATATCGTTTGAGGTATTCTTTCAGTTAGCCACATTTTTCTATCTTTTGTAGCAAGCCGATGAAAATTCATAGGTGGAATATTTCAAAAAAAAACCTGCATATCATTCAGTCGTGTTCCAATATAAATATAAATTAAGATGGAAATTAAGGTATTTTGTCTCTGGCGAGATGAACCACTCAAAACTGACATATTTGATAGGATATAGCTTTTCATTATTCCGTATTTGAAATGTTTTAAACCTTAATTAAAAACCCCTTGATTGACTATATTCGTCCTGGTTTCTGTAAGTGAGAACACAAATTTTCAACTTGAAATGTTATTGAAACTATGATAATCTTTCTGTCTTTGTGGACCCTATATCTCGATATATTTCATAGGAAACAAAAATACTTGACTCTAGTTGACAACGATTGAGACTTTATATTCCGTAATAACTCTCATAGAAGCCCACCCTATACATGCACTTTGAACTCATTTTTCTCGGTTCATTCATAAGATATCCAAGTTTTTTAACTGACAATATTTTTGAATAAAATTACCAACAATTTATTAGTTGACATATTTTTTATATCTCTGGAAGGAACCAAGATAATTGAATCTGGCTCGTTATCAAGTTGATCATCTTTTTTCCTTTTTTAAACCTTGCAAAACTCTTTTCTATAAGAACCTAAAACAGAAAATCCCCTCTTTTCCCCCACTCCACATATACTATTCTAACCGAAAAGTATCATTGACCTTTTTCCAAGAAACTACTCTACTCCAAAGACCGTCCTAGTCTATGCATAAAAGTTTCAAGCTCTCTTTCCTAAAAATGGAAATTGCATTTTCTCATCCGGACGGAAAACTCTTGCATTCCAATCGAGAGCATCCTCATCCAGTCCGTCAACAGACCAGTTCTTCTTCTGCAATATGTGTCTGCGAGTGTGCACTGTAACCGTTTTCCTTTGCATTTCTGAATAGGGACGTCATTAAACGAGCCGGAGGATAGGATGAGAGTTTTCTTCGCTTTTCTCGGCCACAAGCCAAATCGACCAAAAAATCCCATACATTCGAGAGTACATCCCACTATTTTGCCAAGGTTTTATGTGTCATTCGCGAATCGTGGTAGTGGTTCTGTAGCGCTGAATGGTCACACATTCAATCTATGAGCACCACAATGTCGTCGGCTCGCAATTCGGTCGTTTCGTTGTCTTCCAACGGTTCAGTCAAAGTTGAGACACGTCTTGTTAGCAACGAACGGCAGTCTAGTATTCAACAAGAAGGCGCTATGCTTCCTTCATCAAGCTCTAAAGACGATGACCTATTGTCAACGTCTTCAGATGAAGTTGAGAATATGGCAACGCGGACGTTACAACAACTAGAAGAGGTGTGTGCGATTTTTTGATTAGTTTTTTATCGTTTCATTGGTTTCCGGATTAACCTTGTTTCCGCTTTCTTAGAGTACATCAATCATCTCGGCCAACAGCGATGATGATTCGGTTAAAAAGGAAAAACAAGACGAGAAGGATGTGGAGAAGGGCGAAGGAAATAGCGACGATGAAAAAGGTTTATACTTTGGCACTTTTTGGTTTCTTATTAATCGTTCATCATGACTTACACCTGTATGAGATATATGGTCTAGAAGGAAATTTTGCTCCCGTGGTTATCCTCAATTGTTCCTAAATCCGTAATTTGTGTTACGTCGGAGTAGTCATTCAAAAAAAATCAGTCTGTGTTAAAGTTTTTCTGCTTCAAATTTTGCTGTGTCAATCAGAGTCAAAAAAAACTTAGAAGATGAAAATTTTGGCTCTAGTTGGTTATGTTGAATTTTAAAAAAGTGGGTTTAAAAAACTTGGATTTTAAAGAACTTGGGAACCATTAAAGTTCAAAATTTCCTTTTAAACCCAATTGTTTAAGGTCCAAAAACTTTTAATAAATCCAAGTTTTTTTGATCCAAAAATTGTTTTTAAGTCCAAAATATCCAACCAGACTCAAAATTTCTATATTTTTAAACATCTTTATAAGGTTGGTTTGCTTTGGTGCTACGTCGAAAAATATTGCAAAAAAAATTGAGTCGAATTTCATATTTTAAGTAACTTCTTTCTGTATGTTTTACCGTTCAAAATCATCGATACTTTACTAAATTATAAGAATGGATGTTAATTACCAGCAAAAAGTTTGACGCCATGACATATCCGTCTGGTGCGTTTCTAGTACCTATAACAATTTCCATATTGTTTCAACTTGTTCTTAACTGTGGTGCAAATTTTCTAGTCAATCCGTTGACTTTGAGACAAATGGCATCGTCCAATCCAAACCTACTTTCTTCATCGTCCTTTTCTAACAAGGGCAGAGCCCTATTTAATCTTTATAGTCTACAAACCAATTTTACGTACAGTACCCTCTTATAACCTTTTTGTCTTATTTTGATGTGTGCCTTTCGGAAGGTCCAACACTTTGACACAAAATAGGAAAAATTTGACAGAAAGGGCTGAATAATGTATGTTTTAATTTGTCAATGTATTTCGGGTTTTCTGAATTCCTAATTTCATTCACACCACATTTGATGAGTATTCTTCAACTCTAATTCTTACCCATTGGCCAAAACAAGTTTTCAACGATCACTGAACATGCTAAATTTTTGCTTCACTGATTACAGTTTATGATCAACCAGAGTTACAAGGTTCTGCGTTAGTATTTATATTTTTCAATTCTATGATCTGTTTGAAGAAACCAATATTCTAGTTTTTTTTTCACTCTGCCTGTAATGTTCCCAGAGCTTCTTAATTGATAGCTTCATTATAACAACGAAATCCCGAGGGTCATTCCAACACTGAAAAACAAAAATCTAAGTTTGTTAAATGGGTGGCCCTGCTCCATTTCCTGAGTTCTTCTATTCTCTTTGTGTATTGCGGAAGGAAATAATTTTATTTTTTTTTTCGGTTAGAACACTGAAGTACTTAGTAGTCGTCCCATCAAAACGTCAGAAGGCGTATGGCTTATGTAAGCGTTAGGTGAATTAAGTTGAATCCGGTTGGAAGCAATGATAAAAAGGAGAAAAAGCGTGAAGGAACTCATGAATAGTAATTGAATATTAGTACGATTGTTTACCACTTATCTAGTGAACAACGATTGAGCGTTCCTTTTTTTCATTTTATGCCGCTTTTGAATTTGCACAAAGAACTTTTCTTGCTCGATTTTTCTATTTTGTCATGCTTTTTTTTAGAGCTGGAGCACTGTGTTTTTCATGCAACGTTCCATGAATCGGTTCCATCAGTTAACTAGCCTAGAAAAATATTAAAAATACTTTAAGCAAGTAGCTAAGTAATGAGAATTTCACTTGTTATTTTTTCTGTTTTTTTCTCTTTTTTTCCCAGAAGAATCCTAGTTTATGTCTGGAAAAAATAGTTTACTCACCTCTCCTTTTCATAAGCCTCATGTAAAGCGCCTCTGGAAAAGGAGCTTCTTTTTTTTAGGGGACGAGCCCGGTTATTTGTATGTTTTTCAACTTAGTTGTTTTTTTTCCGAGACCTCTTCTTTTTTTCGTCTGTAAGTGAGATAGGAAAAAAAATTTAAAAAATAGGATGTGTTTTAGACATATCTTTCGGAATATCTAGACTCGAACGCTTTATTTTTGTTTTTTTTTGTCTTGTCTTGACTGGAGTGTCAAATTTTCATTTTCAGAACGATCCTGAATTGATGAGTGATCACTTTCAGATAAGAATATTTTTCCGAATTTTCAAAAAAGGGACTTTTTGTTGCTAAATCCGCTCCCATTTTGTTGGCTATATATTTTACAAATCTATGCCAATCCTTGTCATTTTTCCCGAAAAAGTCTTACAGTATCTTCTAAGCTCAAAAACAAGAATTTCATTTCAGAAACGATGTTTTCGCGTTTCTTTCTCCGGCCCTGAGAAGTAATTTGCCGAAGTGAAAAAGTTTATCACTGCCAGCAAAAACCAAACGCTGGTTGCAACAAAAACATAGTTGGAAGAAGTTAGTCACACTGAAAACTCGTTTCGATTCTTTTTTTTCATGCAAAAAACAAGATTTAGTAAAAAAAAAATACTAAGTTCCATTTCTTTATTCGTTTTCATTTTTTTCATATCCTCACAGTATTTACTGTTAATGTAGACAGCAAACATGCCCTATTTTCGATGCTTCCACTTTGAAAATCTTTAATTAAGACTAATAGTGCCAATGTCCTTTGTGTGTTTTCGATTCCAGATTCTTCTAGATAAAACAACCGTGTGAGTTGGAAAAAGGGCATTGTGCTTCCTACCAAACCCACATTTGCAACATTAAAAGACGTGGTCCACGAATAGGCGACACCCGACGCCTCTAGTTTTTAATAGACGTCACGCATCGGTGGCAAATTTCGAACCGAAATGAAATTTTTGAAGTGAAGAAAATAGAAAAGAGGAGATGAGCAATGTGGAAAATGAAATGAATTCCATTATTTTTTTTCCTTCACCCTTATTTGTCTTACTTACCCCCAAATAGTTTGTTCTTTTTTGTTTTGTTCCATGTTGACGGGGGTAAAAAACCTCTCAGAAGAGTCACTTCATTGATCATGGCTTAACAGTTAACCCCTGGAAATTTCTTTTTTGAAACTATTTTGAAAACTTCATTACCCCACTCCTTTTTTCCGGAAGAAAAGACAACAAACAAGTTATAAATCAAGCCACTTCGTGTTATTCGTTTCAATCCAACTAGGCCTTGAAGAATTTGTTTATAAAAGTCAGAAGATCTCATTTGAAGCTTTTCTGATTGGAAATTTGTTTTGTTTTTTGTTTTGCTTAAGATTGAGCTCAAGATTTTCTACGAAAGCGAGTTTTAGATCTCCAGACATTGAATTCGAATTTTTTTTGTTTTGAATTCCCAATCAGATAAACATGAATGCAAAACTGTGTAGGAGACAAACATTAACACTTGGTGTTGCGTTTATATGATTGTTATTAGGTTTTTTAAATGAGAATGATTCACATCTTATTTAGTGTCTTATTCGTCATTTTTTACGCGTCTTCTATCTTTTTTTTTGTTTATGCAGCGAAAACGCCGTTCAAGGTTCTTACGACTTAATATAACTAATATTTCTTTCCATGTTTATGAATCCAACAACAACCCGACATACCTAAAAAGCTATGTATGACGATCCGGTGGAACGCAAGTTCTCCGTTCCACCACCACGAGAATTCAAATTCTCACCGTACATTCCACGAATTACTACTGATGTGAAAAGGCCACCGATTGAGCCGCTTGGAGGTAAGAAATATACTTGAAAACGAAAAATGAGGGAAATTATTTTTCCTATTTTTCCATTGTTTCAAGTTGCCCTCTTACAAAGAAACCAACTCCCAAAGGTCCCTCAAAAGGACTTCCCACCCACTGTGTTATGTTTTTTTCTCTATCTTTTGTCTTTGGCTGACATGTTTTCATAACTATATTCTGGTTGTGCAATTCAATTTGGTCACAGAGTGAAACTTTCAAAAAGTTTCCGCCATATATATGATTGCACCATCCTCGTTAGTCCCAAAAATATCCCAAAAATGCTCTACCAAGAGATATTCTTTACACCTATTATTCACATGCGACGCAGAGATGATCAAAAGATGGAAAGAAAAGCTGGTAATGGTTAAAACATTTCTGAGCAGGAGAAATATTATCGTGATTCGAGAAAAAGTGGGAAGAGAAAAAAAACGCTAAATTCAAACAATACGCGTAAAAACTAAAACCAAAACATGTGTGGATCTGGGGTGTGTGGACTTACTCAATGAGCAGACAATGACTGCTATTATATGCCGAGTTGGTTTTTATGTGCTTTGAAAAATGCAAAAAAGTGAGTTTCTGAGGCTGGGTAACGCTCTGGCTGTGGTTTCAAACGTTTTTCTCTTGCTCGGTTTTGTTCTAGGTTTTGGAATTTTAGAACAAACTCAAACTTTTCAATTCTGTAAATAACTAATAACTGCCGACAGCAGAAAATAGGCCAAACTGTTATTTTCTTACCAAAAAAAATTCCGTGTCTCCAAATTTTGCATTTTATTTTTTTAAACAGTTTCTAATGTCAGACTGAATATTATTCAAATCTGAAAACCTGCTTAACGGATTTGTGTAACACAAGGGCTCCTTTAACTGTCATTTTGGATTTTATTGTTCTCGGTTCCTACTAGACGTGTCAAAAATATTCCAGTCATAAACTCAGCTGACCAATTTTTGATATCTACAACAGGAAATGAGAAAACTCAACTCAATTTCCTGCAATTTTTTTAGTTCAATTGCATTTCAATTTAATTAATCTTCCGGAATATATTTCAAAAGCCATTATATCTGAAAAAAAACGACTTACGTTACTCATCTGGATTATCCCTTCTCTCTTTCGCCCTGTTTTTTGTTTTTCCTCCCTCCATCTTCAATGGAACCGCAAATCTATAATATCACCATGACACGTGTGTTCAATTTTTCTCTCATCACGTTCCCCCCGTTTATTCATTCATGAGTCGTGTTGCCTGACCATCTGTACTAAATTGAGCAAGAACCACCAAAAGTGTTGGCGACAGCCAGCTAGCATCACATTTGTTTTGAAGAAAAATTTTAAAGGTTTTGACAGAAGCACAAAAACTCCACAGCCCCTTTAAAACCCAAAACGCGAAAACCAAACCTTCTGCCTAATAATCCATTCTTTTTCTCATAAGTACCCAATCAACGCCCCAAACCGACGAACCCATAAAAAAGTCAGGAAACTCAGACCCCAAAAAAAGAGAGGGTCCCACCGCCAAACTTTTTTCAATTTTACTTTCGTTTCTTTTCTAAAGTCTGCTCGTTGTTGCACTTTTTCCAATTTTTTCAAATTTGCTTTCAACACAACCAGAGGCAAAATTCGTCAGAGTTTCCTCATTTCATGGTATTTTTTTTTAATTCTAGAACTTCACAGGAAATTTCGTGAAAAACCCACTCAGTTTGCTTTTCTTTTCTTTTGTCGTTTCTAGAAACTCAAAGAAAAGAGATATTTTGAGAAAAAAAAACTATATATTTATTCTCATAAATTTCCGTTCCAAAGCCACTGGCACTCTATTTTATTACATTTGAAAGTTCTTTTATTGCCGAAAAATACGGAACGAAGTATTTTTTCTCTCATTTAATTTCAACTTGTTGAAACCTATCTCTTTTTTCATCTCGACCACTCCATTCGGTATTCGACTAGTCATTCATACTTTAAATACACTCATAAAAGCTTCCCGAAATACACAAAGTCTGAATTCGTTCAGTGAAGCGTAGATGAAGTATAGAACAAATTTTTAGACTTGGCTAGTGCCCAAATTACTGGTCCCATATCCCGAACCGACACATTCCGAATTTTAGCTTTGTGCAAACTGATTTTCAAAACAAATACGAAAATAGGCATTAGTCATTTTCTAGCTTGCTGAGATCTTCGCTCATTTTTTAAAAAGATTATCATGTTTTTATCATGTCAGCTGTTATGAAACCAAGTAATGAACGCTATTTTGTTAAACTAAAACAAGTGTTCTCTAGATTTCTTGGTCTTAGAGAAAATTTTTAGGAAAATCCAACAAAATGCCTTTGTTCGTTTTTAATTTTCAGAAAAAAACTTCGGAAAAAGCTTTTTTTTTAATTAAAAAAAATTTTCAAACTTTTTAGAAATTATTTAATTAAAAAATTTCAAATAAGAAAATTCGAGAATTCCTAATTTTGAGATTGTCGAATATTTAGAAAGAAAAAATAGAAACTCCACAAAACTTAAATAGTTTATTTCCCAAATTATTCAAAATCATCACCTCTGTTTTTCACCAACAATCCACATTTTCCACATAAATTCAATTGGGAAGAAATCCTCACTTTCCAGACAAATTTTCGTAAAGTTTTGCTTAAAAACGTTCGAATCCAAAATTCCTCCACCATGAACACCTATTTTCAGGAAAATGTTAATTTTAACTAGCTTATCTTTACATTGTCATGTAACTCGAAAATTTTTGATTTCCGATTTAATTTCCAATAAAATTATTTCATCAACTTCCTGGTACAAAATTCTGGCAATCCTCAATACTCAGCGGCATCCACTGATCTCTAGTTTCTTTCCTTTCACGACCTAATCTGTCTGCTGATCGCCAGAATGTTATTTTCTTAATATTCGTTTGCCTTTTCCTTTTTTCTGTCACTCCTCCCAAAAATCCCTTATTCTTATTATTTTTCTTTGGACACATGTTCTGGATGTCATGTCCAATTTGAACAAACAAAACAAACACTGACACAGAAATATAGGTGCAACAAAACCTAGGTGCCTGTCATTTGATATCAACGTCGCTTTATGCCCGCTGGCGGCTCTTCGGAAGCTAAGAAAAAAAAAATAAGAGGAAAAGAAGCAACAGTAGAAAAAGCAGAAGCTGTGTTGCCTTCTTCTTTTACAAATCCATCGCATCCGGTCTATTCTTCTCGCGGGTCGAGTTCATATTTCGAACTGAATGAAAACACGAGAAACAGTGACCACGACAAGTGGTTCTGAGTCGTCACCGAAGACAACGATATTGCCAGCAAAAAAGGATTATTTCCATGTTGAAGGTTTGATGGTTGAAAACTGTGTTTTTGGGGTTCATTAAAACTAAATTATGTTCAAAGATCAATACTTCCTAGGGTTTCAGGGTTCTATAGTTCTTTCTGATGACTAATATTCCCCTTTTTTCAGCCAATATCCAAAATGAATTTGGAGTCTGTGGATGGATCCTCACCATTCTCTCCTATCTCCTCATCTTCTTCACTCTCCCGATTTCGGCATGCATGTGTATCAAGGTAAATTGGCAACAGCATTAGGAAAATACTGATATTCTTAATTTCAGGTGGTCCAAGAGTATGAAAGAGCTGTTATTTTCCGTCTTGGTCGTCTCATGCCAGGTGGCGCCAAAGGACCAGGTTAGTGGGGAAGTCGCTAATGCACTAATCAAAGTTTGAATCATCTGGGGAAATCCGGAAATGAAAATTCGTTTGGGATTTAGTTTGAAAAAGTGCAAAAAACTCGAAATATCAAAAATCACATTCTAGGAATCTTCTTCATTGTCCCTTGCATCGATACCTACCGAAAAGTTGATCTTCGTGTTTTGTCTTTCGAAGTCCCACCCCAAGAAATTCTGTCCAAGGATTCTGTGACTGTCGCTGTCGATGCTGTTGTCTATTTTCGAATCTCCAATGCTACAATCTCGGTGAGAACTTTTTTAGATGCAAAACCTTTGAGTTCAATAACATCATTATTTCAAAAAAAAACGCAGTATTTTCAAATTCCAACTCATTGTGTTTTAGGTCACCAATGTCGAAGACGCCGCTCGCTCCACGAAACTCCTCGCTCAAACCACCCTTCGCAACATTCTCGGAACCAAGACTCTCGCCGAAATGTTGTCCGACAGAGAAGCCATCTCTCATCAGATGCAGGTAATTATGCGTGTCAGGTACAGTACTCTCCTACCACTACATTTTTCAGACAACTTTGGACGAGGCTACTGAGCCATGGGGAGTGAAAGTCGAGAGAGTCGAAGTCAAGGATGTTCGTTTGCCAGTTCAACTTCAGAGAGCGATGGCTGCCGAAGCTGAAGCCGCTCGTGAAGCTAGAGCCAAGGTTATTGTTGCCGAGGGAGAACAGAAAGCTTCCAGAGCTTTGAAGGAAGCTGCTGAAGTTATTGCCGAGAGCCCATCTGCTCTCCAACTCCGCTATCTACAAACCTTGAACAGTATCTCGTAAGAATCTATTAAATTCTTGATTGCTAAAAAATGAAAAATATTTCAGTGCTGAGAAAAACTCAACCATCATCTTCCCATTCCCAATCGACCTTCTGAGTGCCTTCCTTCAACGTACCCCACCAAAAGTGTAAGCTTAACTTTTCTTCTTAATTGTTTGAGTGATTCGTTGGCTTTCATTTTGAATTCGAAAATAATGAAAAGAATATCAAATCCAATTGCAGTGATAACAATTTCGCATTTCCAACACAAAAATCCGGCGGAATCCCGTCCACTTCCTGAACACTTCACCAGCTTCACACACGTGTGATCAATTGATGCTTTCTTTCTTGTACTTTCCAATTTTTTTCCATTTCAACTTTTCCACATCGCTTTGACCCTCAAATTCTCACCTCCATCCAGCATTTTGAGTGTTCCAAAGACGCACTGGTACTATAAAACCTACAAATTCGACCTTTCCTCTAAAAACACATAGTCAATATCGTTCACTGAGTAATCTCGGTGAAATCATCCTACCACCCATTATAATTTTTTTCCTGTCCTGTCCATTTTATATTACCTTTTCCTGACAGTAACATTTCATGTTTTTTAAATGTGATATGAGTTTTCGATCCCTCATCTTTCCGTCGAAAAAAAACAATAATCTGCTTTCAAAGTCATTTAGCTTGCTTTATACCATCCACCGAATCTCATCATAGCTTCAATATGTTCTGTTCATTTTTTTTATAACAATTTCCGATAATCCCTTTCGCCACACATTTTTTCTCCAATGAACAGTCTCATATCATTTTGCACTGAATCACTGTTTTGGATTGGCTTACAACTTGAAATTCGACACCTACACGGAGTACTACAGCGTTTGAAGTCATGTGTTGTCTTTGGAGATTCAAAAGCACTGATGCTTCCTTAGATATACACAATGGATTGAATGGGTTGACCAAATTTGAATGACTGAAAATTTTTTTTAAAAAATCGCATATCTTGAAATCTGTAATAGGCGGGACCGCACGTTAACTTTTACAGTGTTTACCTTAGAAATATAAAAAAGATAAAAGTATTTTCAGTTGACCACTTTTTTTATATTTTCGGCAGAAAACCAGAGACAGAAATTGGCAGTTAGAGGACCCTTCCATAATAGATTTTACGATATATTAAACTTCACGGTCTCCCACAGAACATATCCGAACTGCAAATTAATCTTTGATCTACAGAAAAAAGTTTGGCGCGATCACAATTGCAGGATTAAATCCATAATTTCA